TTACTCAGTCTTTCGGTTTACCTGGCTGGATCAGACCTGGCGGCTAGCTTCTTCTGGATAATTCATGAGCTGGCCAAGGAAGCAAACCTCCTTTTCCTTGTTCTTTGTGGTAGTGTGCACTTGACCGTGGAGGCTCTGCATGGCTCTTGAGGCCCACAGAAACATTTCTCATGTACAGTGGTGCCCCGCAATAGCGACGATAATCCGTTCCAAAAAAATCGTCGCTATGTGGCTTCGTCGCTATGTGGGGCAAAAAAGCCCATAGGAACGCATTAAAACATGTTTAATGCTTTCCTATGGGCTGTAAACTCACCGCTATGCGGAAATCCTCCATGTGGCCGCTATTTTTGCTGCCCGGTAAGCGATGAAAGGGTGCGAAAACGCTGCAGGTGGCCATTTTAATTACCCGACAGCCATTTTGGAACCACCGATCAGCTGTTTTAAAAACATCGCTATGTGAAAATCGGTAAGCAAAACGCTTACCGATCATTGCAAAGCGATGTTTTCCCATTAGAAACATCGCTATGCGACCGCAAAAAGTATCGCAAAAAACACATCGCTAAGCGGATTCGTCGTTAAACGAATCGCTCATTATGTGGGGCACCACTGTATTTTTATCCAATGCCCTCTCAAAGCCCATTCAGCTATGAAGGCTGTCACTACAAGGTAAGACAAATTGTAGGCTCCACCATAAAATAGTTTTTTTGAAAAAATCTGTCCTTACAAAAACTACTGGGCAACTTCCCATTGCAATATTGTTCATTATAAAGAAAAGCTGCTCTTGTTCTCTCTTCCACTTGTAAAATAAAACAGATAATTTCAGAATGTTATCCCCCACCCCCTTCCCTCTCCTTTTAAACCGCAAAGACTGAAGACGAACAGGGACTTTTTAAAATGTAATTTGCAAGCTGTCATGGAAATCTTTTCCACTGAAGAGCAGGGCACAAATGCTTTAAATAAATAACAGCCATTAAATTATAGCACGGCTTCTCCTTTGAGTGTTTCTTTTAAGGTGCAAGAGACTTGATCATTTCGGTTGCTCCTCCCTGTGCTTCGTCCCATTTCGAGGATACCCTTTTTGACACCAGTTTTGACACAAAATGGCAAAGGTCGCTTCACCATTCAGAATGAACCACAACAGCACCAAAACACAACCTGTTTTCCTTTTTTATCCCCTTCCTGACAAAATTTTCTTAATATATTTTGTTCAGCCCGCCTTTATTTATTTATTTATTCAATTTCCACTACATTTCTCTGCTTCACCATTCAGAATGAACCACAACAGCACTGAAACACAACCTGTTTTCCACTACATTTCTCTGTTGGATGGTATGAATATGAGGTAGCACTAACGAACAACCCAGTTCTGGAAAAGTCTGATGTAGACTTTTGAATCATCATCATCATCATCCTCTTAGAATGGCAGAGCTGGAAGGGACCCTCTGGATCACCGAGTCCAGCCTCTCTCAAGGAGGCCCAGTGGGGGAATCAAACTCCCAACCACTGGCTCCACAGCCAGATCCCTAAACCTCTGAGCTATCCAGGAGTAATGCTCTAATAAAGAACAAAAATCCTCTTTTTTTTTTAGAACTGACATGATTTCTACCATTCAGACTTGGGTGCCCACCAGAATGTTGATCACCCATCACCTTTTGAACATCCTGAATGTTCCAACTTCTTTTCATTAAAAAAACCTATCAAAATGGCCAGAATCCTACGAGTGGCCACATACGGACTTGTAGCAGGGAACAACGGATACCACAAATAAATCACGGAGCACCTATAAGACTTACTAACTTTTATTTTTATACAAGCTTTCGGGCATCAAAGCACACTTCAGATGAAATACACGTGAAGAAGTGTATTTAGATGCATGAAATGGGGTGAAAATTAAAAACTCATTAGTTTTATAGATGCTACGTGCCTTTTTTCCAGTATAGCACTGTATCTCCCCCATGAGCCTTCCTGGCTTCTATGATCTTGAGATCAAGCCCTTTTGTCTATCCTGTTGCCACTGCAAGCTGGAACGACCCCTCTGGATCACCGAGTGATCTTCTTGAGTCCTTGAGAAGGGTCTTCTCTGTGGTTGCTCCCAAGTTGTGTCAGGAGGTTAGATTTACCCCCTTCCCTTGCATCCTTTCAACAACAGTTAAAGACCTACCTTTTTAGGCATGGTTTAAGAACCGAACTGGGCAACACGGAGTCCATTTTGCATGCTGTGCAGCTCTTCTTTTAAAGTGTTTTTAAAGCTTTTCAAACGTTTTGATTAGAGATGGGCATGAACTACCCGTTTGGACATTTTGCTGGTTCGTTTACTGGCAGAACAGGTGTTCTGTGCTTCAAAGCCCCTCCTCCTCTGTTGGGCGCCCACTCAAAGGCGGCGTCTGGGGGAGGCGGGGCAGGAAAGCCCGCCTGCTGCCTCCGAATGGGCAACCACCAGAGGGCGGTAGTGGAACACTTTGAAGTGTTCAAACACCTGTTTGGACGATAAACGAACCAGCACAAACCACCGAACTGGCAGTTCGCGCCCATCTCTAGGTTTGATTTCAATTACTTTTATATGTTCAATTGAAAACAAAACAAAAACCCACATGTAATTTATTGTTTTTAGTTCAACTTCCTTTAATAGATTTGTGAGCCACCTTGGGTCTCCCCATCAGCAGAAAGTTATGCAGAAATAAAGCAAGCATACGGCCTGTGTAAGCTGCTGCAACTAACTGTGATTCTGGGATTTTCTCGGTTGGGTGCCTAGCCATGCGCCTATCGGCGCAACCAAGATGGGCATCAGTCACCTGGCATGAAGTGGCTGCCACAGACTTTGAAAGGCCTTATGCAAATACCAAGAGAGTTCCAGCCAATACGCTTAAAAGTGTTCATCTAAATGTTTTTGCGTGGACATTCACATCATGGAGGTCCACAAAAAAAGCTGAGAAAGTAGAAAATGGGCAGAAAAGACACAGATTGGGAATAACTTCCTTTCTTCCTTACACCCAGAAATACAAAACTGGCTCAGGAGGGGGAACCATTTCTCCTTGGTGCTCTTTTGTCAACGAATCCCCGCCCTGACATAGGAATAATCACATGCCCTCAAGTCCGTTCCAACTTAAGGCAACCCATTTCAGGTTTTTCCAAGTAGAGAATACTAAGGAGTGCTTTACTGTCCCCTTCCTCTGGGGGGCGACCTGGGACTGTGCAGCTTGCCCAAGGCCACCCAGGCTGGCTCTACCTGCAGGAGGCACAGTGGGGGAATCGAACTCCCAGCGTCCGGCTCCACAGCCAGACACCTCCTAAACGACTGAGCTCTCCAGCCAGCTATGGAAAGGGGTTTCATTGTTTTCAAGCATGGACGAAATAACAATGAACGGACTTGTAAAACATGGCTTAACACTCAAAGTCTGGCACCGTCCGCAGCTCTCACAACAACCCTGCACGGTTAGGCGGGCAGGATTTGACCCACCCACCTTGCTGACAGGGAGCTGAGGGGGTGGGAAGGAAGGGGCTCCTTCAAAGCTGCTTTGTGGCCTCATAGGAAATGGGAAGTTGGCAATGGGCAAATTCTTAGCCCTTGCTTAACTATACCATGGACCAAAATCTGCTGATTGAAGGTGACTAAGCTATACCCAGTTTACACGTTGCTTAAATTCTAACAAAGACAACTCTTCAGCACATTAAATTTTGTACGGAATTTACTGTAAAACCACATAGAAGTAAAAACAGTGCCAACTCCTGCAGTTTTCCCCACTTCCTATTAAAAAAACAAATCCAAAATGTTTTGTTTCCACCTTCCAGAGGTCATGAGTTCTAAAGAGAGGCATTTCCACCATGCAAACACTTTGTTTTGGGGGGTGTCAAATGTTTAAAACATTATAAAACAATTTAAAAAAAATAACTGTTCAATTAACAGTCTGTACTTGTGTGGGAAAATGGCCAACCAGGAGCTTGTGGGGGAAGGAAGCTCAATCAAATATGCAGCTAGAACGCCCTACGCAAACATGCATACACTTTTGAAACACTCTCTCTCTCACACACACACAGAGAGACTTATGTGGTATAACAGAGTGGAAAGTATTAATGAAATGGACAAGCTGTGTCTTTTGATTTGGCCCCACTTTCCAGAGACCTGGAAAAATCACTTCTTCTCTGCCTGCATCTCCAAGACCTTTTCCCTGGACAGACTGGTGGCTTATGGGAAGGATAGACAAAAGAAAAATAACTTTTCCAAGCTCAGCAACTTCCAGAATACTTTAGAGGGCTAGGGCTATGAAAAAATGAACATGTGAGCAGAGAAATGCCCTGTCTAGAGGCAGAGCAGGAAAAAAAAAAAGGAGAGAACAATAAAACCTTTGTTTCTTAAATAAAACCGTATTTTAAAAGGAAGTGGAGAATAATTTGCCACTCAGTTGCACAAAGCAATGTATCTTGGTAACTACAGCTCCCTTAACATTTCAGCTCCCTCACAAATGGGCAGTTTAAATTCAGGTCTGCCTTCAATCTTGGAACTTGGACGGAACCCGTCAACGCTCCCTTAAAACAGACCACACGCATCTCCAGGAATAGAGGTTGTCGCTCCTAACTTAAGAGGGCCAGATGGCACCGCTAAAATCTGAATCTGGAATGGAGGCAGAAATTTTGGAATGTCCCTTTCCAGAAACGCTTCCTCATGAGTCCTCCCTTATCTTGATTCAGGCTCCACTTCCTGGACAGATGAAGCAGCTATCTTGGCTGGTTGTCATTCCACATACACACGGATCACGAGATCTTCCTCCCTGACGCTCTCTAGAAGGAACAGTTGGCCTCATCTGATTAAAACTGGTGACCGCTGCCTACGAAGCTGATCTGGGCTCAATGTTCTCAACAGCCCGAGGAAGCTGCAGAGATGCCCCCGTGGTGGCCGCCGGATGTTTTACGGAACACAACAAGGCACCGCTCAGTCCCGCAGAAGAGGGGGGAATCTAGTCTTCCGTTCCCGAAACCACGGAACCAGTCCGGGATTTCCTTACCTGGTGGGTTTTTCGTTTCAGGTTTCGGAAAAGGAGGACAAGGATGTCTGGGAGGAGGGAGAGGAAGATGAGGCAAAAGATGGCTAGCCAGCTCGACATGGACGTCAGCATCTGGGCGAAGACGTGGAACATCCGTCGCTGCTTCAGAAAAGGCCTGGACGGGACAAAGTGGAGACAGAGATTTGGCCCAGAATCATACAATCCAAGTATGACCATGCCACTATTCATGGTGAGACCTGCAGGGAGCATTGCAAGGCAGAGTCCTCTACGGTTGGGCTTCCGAGCAGCCAGAGGGACCCTTTTCTAGGAGACTCTGTTCCCGACACTCCATGCCCCTTGACCATCTCAATTTTCCCAGTGTTCCTGACAGTCAGCAAACATTTTTCTAGAACTTCAGAAAGTTTCCTTTCCAGAGACAAGAACCCACAGGTTTTCCCAGCCAAGCCGTTTTAAACCAAAGTAATACACAGGACTCTTATCCATGGAATCCTTATCCACTGATTCACTTTTCTGCGATCTAAAAATATTAAAAGAAAAATCCTCAAAATATGTATTTCTAAAGATGAAGTTTTTCTGAACCGGCCACTAGAGGCCGCCAGAGGCCATGCTCCGCATAGCATTTGTGCAGAAATCTATTCCCACAATGTCATTACCAGAACTGGCCATTGGAGGCGCAAAACAAGTAAATTATGCCCTGGAACTGGCCATTGGAGGGAGCCAGAAACCATTCACTATTAAAAAAGAGTGCCCCATAATCTGCATTTCCCAGCATACATGGGGAGAGGTTTGGGACCAATCCCCTGCGGATATGAGGGTCCTAATGTATCAACATATGTTTAAATTTAAGATGCAAAACAAATTATGCCCTGAGCACCATAGCTCCAACTTAAAACACTTACCAAAGGATTCCTCCCCAGAAGAACGAGAAAAACACATAGAAGCCCAAGGATCCCCAAATCACAAAGTGGTTCATCCATGTCCAGAACCGGGTGTCTAAGGCCAACTAGGTGAAAAGGAAGAAAGGGCACTGTCACAAAACAGTGTTGAGCATCCTACAGAATCGATGCATCTCCAAAGCCTACGGTTTTGGAGCAAGACTTTGACAAGATGGTTGGACAGGGTCATCGAAGCGACCAACATGAATTTGACCCAACTCTGGGAGGCAGCGGAAGACAGGAGGACCTGCGTGCTCTGGTCCATGGGGTCACAAAGAGTCGGATAGGACTAAACGCCTAAACAACAACGGAAGCGTATCCGCTCTATTCAGGCTGACAGGAGGGCCTGGTGTACTCTGGTCCAGGGGGTCACAAAGAGTCAAACACGACTGAACGACTAAACAACAACAACGGAAGTGTATCCGCTCCATTCAGGCAGCCCTCAAGGGCTTTATTGCAAAAAGAGAGGGCTTCTTCGGTGGGCACTCCCTGGCTTTGGGACTCCCTGCCGCTGTTCAACTTTGCTGCCATTCCAGGAGGTGATGGAACCCTTTCTATTCAGACAGGCATTCTGAATCTAAACCACCGGGCTGAAGGATCAGAACCAAGGACATTCCGCACCTTTGCCAGCCAACCAAGCCTATGACTTGTGGTCCAAAATGTTGACTTGCCCATGTTCTCCCTAAAGTCGGCCCCAACCTGGCGGGTGGTTTTCCTCCAGCTTGTTTTCTACAGTGTCTTGGCTGTGTTTGTGTCTCCTGTATTATTTTAGCACAGTGCATCTTTCTCTACAATCACTTACTGTTTGCATCAGAACTTTGATTTATTTTTTTCCTGGTCTGCTATTGCTTGACACACTGAGCGCCAATTTTAGTGAAAAGTTGGGGGCCCTGCCTAGCAACCAAATAAACAAGCGACAGAAAAATAAAGCGAAGGAGCTCTCACCTTTAAGGTGACGGTGAAGACCAATACGGTAAAAACCATTGTCCCAAATGTCCAGTTCCCCGCCATCTGAAAAACACAGCCAGTTCCAAGGTTTAACTCGACCAAATTTGGGGAAGAAGGTGGAAACGGACCAGGGAGCAATTGTAACAAGGTAAGGTAATAGCTTTTCACACGTAGAAGAAAATGCTGCAGTTGGAAGTGGGATATTTCCCCCTTTTTTCAACGACAAAAACATTTTGAAGGACACAACAATAACAGCGCATGACTCGTACAGCTATCTACCAAAACTGATACAAACCGCACTCTTCTGGATGGATGGATGGATGGATGGATGGATGGATGGATGGATGGGTGGATGGATGGGACAATAACAACATGAAACCACAGTGATCTCCTGGTAAGAACTGGATGCAAGAAAGCAAGTTTTGCATTCTTTTCCACAATCACAGCTCTGCTCTCTATTAGGGCAACTCTAAATAATAATCTTGGAACTACATACTGAGCTGGAAGGGACCCTATGGATCATCCGGTCCAGCCCCTGCCAAGGAGGCCCAGTGGGGAATCAAACTCCTAACCTCTGATGCTGTAGCCAGATGCCCAAACCACTGAGCTCTCCAGCAGGTCTTTGAACTGGGAACCTAGAAAGCTATCTTACGCTCGGTCAGACCCCAGTCTATATAGCCCAGCATGGCTGACTCTAACCAGCAGCAATGTCTAGCCAGAGTTCCAGGCACCTTTTTTGCTAGCCCCCCCGGAGATCGCTGATAGTTACTGATAATCTCCCATACTCCCCCCCCCAAAAAAAGGAAATGAAAGGCAAACAGTGCTTCATTTTTTAAATCACAGGAGATCAGACGGGTACAGGTAGTTAAACATAAGCCTTTTGGCGTGGTGGTTAAACTGCAGTACTACAGCTCTGCTCACTACCCAGGTTCGATCCCAGGTAACTGGCTCAAGGTTCACTCAGCCTTCCATTCTTCCGAGGTCAGTAAATTGAGTGCCCTGATCTGTGTAGCCTGCATAATTTAATTGCAAACCGCCCACAGAGTGCTTTACGTGCAATGGAGCACTGCGTAAGCATCATGCTTTGCTCCATTTTTTTAAAACAGCAGTGTGTGTTCTGCTCACACACTCCTCAGATTAAAGTTTCCAAATATCTGAAACACCTTTGATTTCTCAAGAAAAACAGGGGACGAGGAACACCTTCATCACAGTCCTTTTGCTTTCTTTGGCTTGCCAGGCACGGAAGAAAAACCCCTTCCACACATTTCAGGGTGAAACTATGGCAATACGAGGGATATCGTTTGCTTACCAAATTCGGTCAAGATCTGAAGGCATACATCGAAACAGAAAGGGACAGGGTGTGAATTTTTTTTCCAGGGTGCTTCTTTTCGTTTCTGTGTTACCCCTTTGTCTGTCTTTTCTTTCCCACAAAACAGCTAAGCGTCTCGTCACTCCTTCAAGCCTAGCAGGCTGAACCTGGATTCCTGGAGGGTTGCCCACTTGTTTGGTGGCACGCGCTACAGTCCAGCCCAAGCTTAGGCCAGATCAAACTGGCTAGCCTTTAAGATGCCACAGGACTCTCCGTTGAGCAACACAGGGTTGCCCCCGATTAATGTTTTGGGTGTTGTTTTTTTTAAGCTGAAGAGGTACAAAAAGCAAGGTTCAAACAAAGCTGCTTTGACCACTGGAATTGAACTCATTGCCAGCAGGTTCTATAACTGCACAGCAGGGGAACAAGCCTCCTTTTTGACCCATGCAATGGGCTAAACATGCAGAGTAGAAGAGAGAGCCTCGGGGAATCATAGAAAAATGAAGTGGGAAGGGGGCCTGTAAGGCCATCGAGCCCAACCTCCTGTTCAAAGCAGGAATCCAAGTTAAAGTATGTCAGACAGATGACGGTCTAACTCATTGGTTCCCAGCCTTGGGCAACTCAGGTGTACTTGGACTACCATCCCCAGAAGCCTTCAACATCAGCTGTGCTGGCCGGGATTTCTGGGTGTTGCAGTCCAAGAACAAATAAACATATAAAGAGCCTCGTGGCGCACGGGTTAAAACGCTGTACTGCAGCTAAAACTGTGCTCACGACCTGGGGTTCAAATCCCAGGTAGCCGGCTCAAGGTTGACTCAGCCTTCCATCCTTCCGAGGTCGGTAAAATGAGTACCCAGCTCGCTGGGGGGGACAATGTGTAGCCTGTATAATTAAAAATTGTAAACCGCCCGGAGAGTGCTTGTAGTGCTATGGGGTGGTATATAAGTCCAATAAATAAATAAATAAAATAAATAAACACCTGGGTGACCATAGGCTGGGAGCCACTGGTTTAGAGAAGGGAGGGAGACTCAGCAGCTCACAAAGATCCTCCATGTAAACCCAAAGTGTCATGTGTTCATGACCTGGATTGTGTAGAGCAGAGGTCCCCAACCCCCGGTCCGCGGCCTGGTGCCGGTCCATGGCCTGAGCCAGACCAGGCCGCCAAGATAGACCTCCTGCCCCACACACACTCACCCCCACACAGCCCGTTTGCACCTGCATGCATGCTCCAGCACACCTGTGCGAGAGCCGCACCACTGTTTATGCATGTGCATGAGCACCAGCACGCCCAGACAAGCGATGCGCCGCCGTTTATGCATGCGCATGAGCACCCCCCACACAGCCTGTTTGCACCTGCGTGCCTGCTCCAGCATGCTTGTGCGAGCTCTGCATCGGTGTATGTGCATGTGCACAAGCACCAGTGCGCCCAGACAAGCGATGCACCGCCGTTTATGCATGCGCACAAGCACGGGGGGTACCCCACCTTCCCCAGCCAGTCTGCAGACCAAAAAAGGGTTGGGGACTGCTGGTGTAGAGGACTTTCATGGATTGGCAAGTCTGTCTTTCTAGAACTGTCCCTTTGTGTGAGGAACACAATTTTGGGCAGGATGTGTTTCGCTCTTTCTTCGTGTGTTCAGCCCATCAGGCTATTAAATGACGGAGCAGGGTTAAGGTTTGCAAAAGGGAGTGACTAGAGATGGGCACGAACCACCAATTTGGCCGTTCGGGCCAGTTTGTTTACCTGCCGAACAGGTGTTTGGCACATTCCAGCCCTGCCTCCTCCTGGCTTCCCTGCCCTGCCTCCTCTGGTCACTGCCCCTGAGCGGGCGCCTGCTGGAGGAGGCAGGGCTGGGAGGCCCCAAACACGGGTTCGGCCAATAAACAACGCAGCACGAACCAATGAAACGATGGTTCATGCCCATCTCTAGTTGTGATTTGAGAAAGAGAACTTGATCCGAGGAGGAACTACAGCCTTTGCTCAAAGGCAGAATCAACTCCTGTTTGGGGGATGGAAAACCTAGACATCACTTTACGGGCCTACCAAATGGACATAGCTCACGTTTACACCAACAGGTTACACAGGAAAATAGATGCAGAGTTGGTTTTTTCCAGCAAAAGGGACCTCTAGAAGTTTTCTAGAGTATTCATTGAAGCCACTGGTGTAGGTATTGATCCCTAAGTTTTGATGCAAGGGAAGGTGTGGTTTTTTTTTTAGTTTTAATTTCTCCCACCCCCTGTGCAATTATTTTTTCAGTCCACGTTATGTAAGGAGGGGGGCTCAAACAGGTAAAATACCACAAAGGAGTTGACTCCTTTTTCCTAGACCTTCACCCTTTGCTACAAACTCTTTAAAAATACTCTACTCATTTTGCAAGCATCATTCTCAAGTTACATACAGTTTGCTTTTTTTAAAAAATGAAATAATGCTGGACATCCCAGCTTGCAGACATGAAATAGGATGAATACCTGTTTCCTAGGGTTAGCTAGTTCAGACAAAGTATTATTAGCTCTGTTGGACCACCCACCCCATCTGAAAAAAAGGTTTTGTTAGATGGGGAAGGATCGCTCTCTGAAATGCAGGCAAATGACTAGCAGGTGGGTAGAAGAGGGCAGGATGGCCATGGGGCTAATCTAAGAATTGTTTCTTTTCCTCTTACCTTTCCGCTGTTCTCTAAGGAAGTCTCTTGGAAAAGAAAATAAGTCCCAAAGAAGAAGACGCAGCCATCAAAAAGGCCCAGGAAGGTCCAGTATAAGAAGGGCTTCAGCTGCAACATGGCGTTATCGGAAACGTTCCTGCCGAAGACAAAAACGCAACAAGAGGGTTTCAACTTCAGCTGGGAGAGCAGAAAAAGGAGGGCGGGGGGAAGGCTGCCTTCTCCAGGAACATCAACCTCTCTGAGGCAGGACCAGGGAAACCTGCTTTTATATGCTTCTGGAAGAGAGAGGTGCAACCCTTAAACGGGACAGTTTCCAAGTTCTCAAGATGCAGGCAGGCAGGATTCCACCCAGCGACCGTTTCTTCACTCAACCACTTATTCTCCCAACCGCTCGCCTTCTGGACCAACAGCCACCGAGCCCCAAACTGCTGTTGATCTCACAAAACGGGGCAGAACTAAAAAACAACAACAACAACACACACACCAACACACAACACAAAAAACACCCACCCGGAGTACTTACAGGTATAACTTTGGAAAGGCCATCAGGGTGTCAATAGGAATGTGCTGTTCCAGCAGACTGTAGGCCACAATCGGCAGAGAGGTGAAGCAGATGTTGAACATGGTAAGATAAGCAGCATCATAGAGAGGCTGAAAGCACATAAGGATGAGGAATCGGGGTTAGGAGAAGGAATCAATCCCAGAAATAGCCAAGGACCAAGCGAGACAGATCTGTCCCGCAAGTCTTTGAGCTTCTTAACACCCTGAAGAGATCAACCTTGCTCTGCAGATCTTTTTTTTTTAACCAGAAGACCCAAAATTAGACCAGAGAACAAGGTGACCTCCCACCCAATAAAAGGCTTAACGAGGAAAGAGGCTTATTAACAACAATGGCGTTCTCAGGAAATGAATTTCAGTTCATTAGAAGAAGCCGGCAGATTGCAACGGACGGATGACGCAGGAAGGCTTGCAAACTGGGCATCCCCAGGTTTTACAGAGGACTGGAAAAATTTGTAAGTCCCTGCTAATGAGTTAAGTTTGGTTTGGGGCTTGCATGAAAAGGCTATTAATGAAGTAGAAGTAAAGGCAGATGTTTAACTGCCCTGCCCGTGTCCAACGCTTCATTTTTATGGCAAACAGGGCAGGACATCCAGCTCCTTGCAACGGTGGCTGCTGGCCAACATCTTTCCTTGACATGGCTCTTTTTTAAAGCCCTCTAGCCAACCAGATGGCTTCAAGAACTTTTCAGGATCAGGGGCTCCCTTTCTTTACAACTGCCCGTGACAGGGCTGTTTTGTTCAAGCCAGAAGCGGCTGGACCGATTCATTGGAGGGACAATATTCCACCCACCCCACCCCGTTCCACAGAATGATATTTTCCAGAATGCCCCAAGGGCAGGGCAGGGGAAGCCAACCTTCGCTCGCCTTCCCTGCTTCAAACTCTCAGGAAAAACGAATGAATACGGAAACCAGGGGGAGGGCTTGGATAGAGATTAAGGACCAACTGCACGCTAGGTCGTGTATGGAAGACCGCCTAGAGTGGAAAACGACAACATACCTGTTGCGAAAAGCCGCAGAAGAACTGGTACAAAAATTGTGGGAAAATGAAGCAAAGATTCTAAAACCAACAAAGACAAAAATATACGGAGAGAAAAACAGAAAGTGGATTACTACGGATGCCGTAGCTATCAAGTCTCTTCGAACTCTGATTTTGGGCAACCCAGCACAGTGGGATCTGGGATGGAAGAAGCCACTGTGCTCACGCATCCCCCATCTTGCCTTTGGAAAAGCTTCCTACCAACGAGTAACATTTTCCACCGGTACCACACCTTTTCTCCAAGCAGAGCCAGGTGGCAGATGCGAGACTGTCTCTATTCTATCCTCGGAGAAGGAGCTAGGATAGTTTGAAGGGAGGGATGGGCCCTGGAAATTTCATTTTCATGAACCTTTTTTTTAAAACACCTTCATTCTTTCTTAGATCAACTTCTCTTCCCCAGCAGATGGCTTCTAAATCTCAAACCGTGCTGACTTCATTTGGGATATACTACACTGAGAACCACATAACAACAATATCCAACGACATGTGATAGATACAAGGGAGCAAAGCCACCAAGAGGAAGGAACAAATCATTAGTGCTCCATGCATGTCTTCAGCCAGAGAAAGCAAGGAACCATTCTAAAACAACCCTGTTCCCTTAAAAATTGGGGGGGTTCCCATGATATATAATAATAAATGCAGAATTTTGAAAATGAGATTTCTTTAAAATAGAGTCTTCGCTGAATTTGACACCTTTGCACTAACTTACAAGGAAGATATACCTGACTAAAGATCTCCTAACCATGGTTACCTAGGCCTCCCTCTGCCACGTCCCGTGGATAAAACATCTAGACCGCATTTCACCTTTTGCAGCTTGGGTGCATCGGCCAGAAATACGGTAGCCTGCAAACTGCCTTATACAATTTGTTACTCCAGCCCCACATTATCCTTTCTGACTGGCTGCTGCTCAGACCACTAGGCAAGGAAGGATCTTTCCCCCTCCCCTCCTGCCAGCCATAAAAGCTGTGAATCAGAGCTGGTTGGTTTTGCTTGTTTTTAGGGACAACAGTGACGGCTTGACCACTGACTTATGGGACTGAACATGAGCAAGGAAAGAGAAGAAGCATACACCTGAGCACTGTGGGCCACTCATTTACGTAAGACAGAGATTTACCCAGCTTTTCGCCTGAATATCAGGAAAAATAAAAACATTCCTAACTGTTGGAGCAGTACGACAATGGAACCAATTTCCTTGGGAGGTGGTGAGCGCTCCAACGCTAGAGGCCTTCAAGAGAAAGCTAGATAGATGTCTCTCAGATCTGTTTTGATCTGGGTCCCTGCCTTGAGCAGGGGGTTGGACTCGATGGCCTTAGTGGTCCCTTCCAATCCCATTCGGCGATGATTCTATGACTTGGCCCCTTTTCAGACCCACCATTAAGGCTCTGCTTGGCCTCCCCCATCTTGGGCCATGACCCACATCCTTGCCCCGCTTTTAAGCCACAAGGGCCCGCCGGCTTCATTACCTTGTAGAAGAAATACTGTACAAGGTGTGAGATTCTCACGTAGTACAAATGGCCGTGCGCCAACAGCAACTTTTTCAAGTCTTTAAACCGCGGGATGGCGTAGTCACTGTTTCGGGCAGCTTGGCGGCCTTCTTTTCCTTTGATACCTGGGTGTAGGAAAGAAAGAGAGCAAGGGGAATGGGCCAAAATTTCCAAAATCTCAAATGACCACAAAGCCTGCGGTAGCTCTCTGATCTCCAGGCTGGGCTATACAGAGCCTCAAAGAGAAGATGAGGGGCTTCTAGGCTTTGGAACCTCAAAATAACAAAGCCACCCACTCTGATCTCCAGGCTGGGCTATACAGAGCTTCAAAAAGAAGAGGTCGTGAGGGGCTTCTAGGCTTCGGAACCCCAAAATAACAAAGCCACCCGAGATGATCTAGCAGCTGATCCTAGAATTCCATCCTCTTGACCCTCTGAGCCTTGCAAAAGGAAGAGATCATATGCCGTTTTCTTTCATTCATGCAGGCTGCAGCCCGTCCCTTTTCTGGAGGCATAATATCCGAGGCGTCCCTATGCAGGGGGGACCTAGCTTGGACTGCAAGGGGTAACAAAGCCTAGTGGGCGACGTCACCAAACACGCCCTCTGGAAACAGGCATCCAGGATCGTACTTCTGATTTCCCCCTAAGTATGGGAAACCGCGCACACCTCGGCAGCCAAGTGCAGCTTTATTAAGGAAGTGCTGATTGTAATCCGAAGGATCCAGTAGCGCAACCAGAAATTTGTCTTGCTTGTGTGTAAAACGGCAAGAGGATTCTGGATGATATTTGTACAAGTTTCATTTCCCTCCCCTCCTTTCATGTCAGAAGAACCACCACACACAAAGAGGGCTCTGTCGGAGCAGAACGGAAACACACCCCATTCGCCTGTTCCTCAACAAGTGTTCTCTGATACCCACAAGCTTCCTGCTGGGTCTGAAGGCCATGGAGCCCCGTTCTTGATTGTCCTCCACCTCACACATGGCCTGCAGAGCTTCGTGAGCGCATCACAAAAGTACAGGGAACTTCCATGATCACTAGTCATTGTCAATTTCTCCCCGTATTCGTTCTATTCAGCAAGGTCAGGAGGGTGGTATTCTAATCTTATTTTATTCTTTTTTTATATGACCTGTCTGGATTATAACTAACAGAACCCAAGCAAAGACGGCCACCAAGTTTGCCAAGGAATTCTTGGCACTGTCGTTAAAAAGTAGCATTTCTAAACAAGGGACTTCTCCCCTTTCATCGACGCCAATGCCGTAACCATAACTGGAAGTAGAAAATTCTGCACTAAGATGGGAAAGAGCCTTCTCTCTTTCAAGTGGCTAATTCTGAATGCTAGTCTTACAAGAAAGTGGGCAACGCCCTCTCTGACCACCTGCACCACCTCATCTGCCATTCTGTAGACCACGATCGTGATCTTGGTTCCTTGAATTCCCACCCCACACACACACACACTGGATTGCAATACTCCAGGTTGTTGGTCATGGCACTGCCTCTTACCTATGCCCACGTGAGCTTCTAAAATCATGCTAACGTCGTTAGATCCGTCTCCGACGGCAAGCGTGATGGGGCTGCCCTTCGAATTCTTCACCATTCGAACGATCTGGAGGGGGGGGCAAACAGAAGACCTGAGCCAATGAAGGCACACAGAACAGGAGCAAGCACTCACGATCCATGCGGTCCTTCTCCCTTCTCCAGTGTTACTCACTGGGATTTAGATTTTCATGATCTTAGAACCGCAGCGCTGGAAGGGACCCAGTGGAACATCAAGTCTATTCCCTGTTAAGGAGGCCCAGAGTGGGAATCGAACTCCCAGCCCCTGGCTCCGCAGCCAGACGCCTAAGCCACTGAGCTCTCCTGCGGTTTAGGTTTCTGACTCAGAAGAAAAAGGAGTGGATCAAGAGTTCAGCTTTGTCAGAGAAGGCATGAGCTCCTTGGCAAGCATCTAGCCTGCATTTCTTCCACTGGGGAAATCAAGGCACCTACCATACAAAAGGAAAAAATAACTGACAACAATAATCACACTCCCCCGTACACCAGGAGGGACGGGGTGGCGCTGTGGGCTAAACCGCAGAAGCCTGTGCTGCCGGGTTAGAAGACCAGCAGTCGTAAGATTGAATCCACGCGACGGAGTGAGCCCTCCATCGCTTGTCCCAGCTCCTGCCAACCTAGCGGTTCGAAAGCACGCAAATGCAAGTAGATAAATAGGTCAGAGAAGGCATGGGCTCCTTGGCAAGCATCTAGCCTGCATTTCTTCCACTGGGGAAATCAAGGCACCTACCATACAAAAGGAAAAAATAACTGGCAACAATAATCACACTCGCCCTTACACCAGAATCGCATGCTGCGATAATGGAATTGGCAGGCACGCAGGCAAATGGTCCCTTCCTAAGCTGGGTCTCTCTCAAAACCGTAAAAAAACAGCATCTTGAATTGAGCCCTTGTCAAGTGGATCACAGTGTCAAGGGGAACCTTTACCTTTATCTTACCGTACACCAGAATCGCATGCTGCAATAATGGAATTGGCAGGCACACAGGCAAATACTCCCTTCCTAAGCTGGGTCTCTCTCAAAACCATAAAAAACCAGCATCTTGAATTGAGCCCTTGTCTTGCGAACAAGTGGATCACGGTGACTCATACACACACACACACTGATGCTTTCTGCTGGGAACAAGGGGGCTTGCTGGAAAAGACCTGCATTACACACCTGGGCTTTCTGTAAAGGGGCCATCCGACAGCACAACACCGCCGTACACTTCAAGCATATCTGCAGGAAGATGCTCCTGTACTGACCGGCGTGGGGGTCTTGAGAAGGGTTCAGTATCAGAGACAGGGTGGCCCCGTCAATAACCAGCCCATACTCCTGACTGAGCATCCAGCTTCTAAAAACAGAGACAACACGCTTAGTGTTTGTTGTATATTTACTTATTTAATCTGTTTACCGCCCCTCTAGCTACACAGGCAACACTCTGGGCTTGTAAAAAAAAGGGTCCTCAAAATGACAGGAAAAGTGCAGAGTGGAAAGACACCAAAGAGCCAGAATTCATGGCTGTCTGATGTAGTCATAAAATTGCTCCACGGCCGCTCTTTAAATGGGCCTGAGCTTTGAAATTTCCTCTTTAAAAGCAATTCACTCGCCGTTATTTCTTACAATGTTCAGAAAACAACTCACAGGCATTACAATACTGAAAAACTGACTCACAACATTGCCAGTTGTTACTTCTAAAAACAAAACAAGATAGGCTTCGCAAGAGACTGTCATAAATCTCAGAAAATTCTCGTCAAAGCCTCTCTTGAAATGGCCTTTGAGAGTATCTGGAAAGTACAGTAATATTTGCTGCTCCAATAAAGTAACTTTGTTGCTACTCAAGCTCTTTAAATGGGCCTGAGCTTTGAAATTTCCTCTTTAAAAGCAATTCACTCGCCGTTATTTCTTACAATGTTCAGAAAACAACTCACAGGCATTACAATACTGAAAAACTGACTCGCAACATTGCTAGTTGTTACTTCTAAAAACAAAACAAAGTAGGCTTCGCAAGAGATTGCCATAAATCTGAGAAAATTCTTGTCAAAGCCTCTCTTGAAAGTACTTGGAAAGTAATATTTGCTGCTTCAATAAAGTAACTTTGTTGCTACTCAGCGTGGTACTTCTGAAATGTAACTGAGCTATACCTGTGTTGCTCATAATAGGAAGTAACTACAAGTAACTACATTAATTGTTACTCATTCCATCCAAGCTCTAGTCCTACTTTGAAAGCAGGCAGTAATTTGCACTCAAATGTTCACTGACAGAATTGACCTACACTTTGCTCTTTTTTTTCCAAAATCTGCTACTGACTGATAAGAGGGCTTCTCTTATCCCAGGGCTGCACCCCTAGCGCTTAGCTTGCCCTGGGAGTTCCCCACCTTTATCCTGTTGTTTATCTGCCAACACATTTCACAGAGCTTCACCTTTTTTCCTACGGTTGGTGGCCCAGAAGGTGAAGATTGGCTGGATGCCACATGGGAACCCCTGGAGAAGATTTCCAGAACCATTGTTTCTGGCAAAGAGTTCAAAAACTGGGCCAGATAGGAACACAGAGGTATTATGCTGCAGCCTCTACTTTCTTGCTTATTTCTCAACGTAGAATCTCAAAACTCTCCTTTGCCACCCTTGGGAGGCCTCGTTTTAGAATCCATAGACAACCCACTTTGCTCAATTTTCGGATCATAGGCTTCAAGCCCAATCCTGCACCATCGCTAGCTAATGAGGAATTCTGTAGAGCTCAACAGTTTGCGTTGTTTTAGGGATCTAGTAAATCTAGTATGGGTATTTCTTTTTAGGAATCTAGTAAAAGTACTGAAGGGAACCGCAGAAGCCTCTGTGCTGCAAGGTCAGAAGACCAGCCATCGTAACATCGAATCCACATGGCGGAGTGAGCCCCCGTCGCTTGTCCCAGCTCCTGCCAACTTAGCAGTTCAAAAGCATGTAAAAATGCGAGTAGATAAATAGGGACCACCTCGGTGGGAAGGTGACGGAGTTCCGTGTCTAGTCGCGTCTGCCACGTGACCACGGAAACTGTCTTTGGACAAACGCTGGCTCTACGGCTTGGAGACGGGGATGAGCACCATGCCCTCGAGTCAGACACGACTGGACTCAATGTCAAGGGGAACCTTTACCTTTACCTAAGAGTATTGCCCAACCATGAACTTAAGAGAAGGGATGAATGTAAGATACATTGGGACCAAGAAAGGATCATGTGGTTTGCACCAAGGCTTCCGTCGCTCCTTTCTCGTTGTCAGACTATGGGGGTGAAGAAAATCTGAAGAAAAGCGAAGCATCCTTTTGCTCACCGCTTCCCACGGGGAGCGTCCATCACCAGCTTCTTGTGATACTCCACCAGCAGCTCATGCAGATGATCCTCCTTGCGGTCTCCCTCCCCGAGGACTTTGGCCGTCAGCTGGAGCAGCTCCGTGCTGGTCTGGAAGAGCCGGCAGGCGTAGCAGGTGGCCTGGGCCGTCTCCATCTTGTCCCCCGTCAGCACCCAGATCTTCATGCCCGCCGCGTGCAAGGCCTCGATGGTTTCGGCAGCCAGGTCTTGGAGCCTGTGGACAGACAACGGCGTTATCGACCGGACACAGCGACGGAGGTCCCAAAGGGCACTTCCTGTCTCTTTTGTAAATTGAGATTTTTTAAAAAAGGAATTGTAAACAAGTAAAAAAAAAAATGCAGCTTTATATAATTGCATTTGCATGTATGGATGTTAGCTAACTGAAATACAGGTGGAGGGGGGAAAGAAAGCTGCTGAACCATCTGTATTACATTCAGGAGTTCTACCACATTGAAACGAGTCCTTGCAAGTGGAACTTAAGAATCTTTTCGGTTTCGATGGTTAGAAGGCTGGTCCTTCAGCCTTTTTTAAGTTCTTGTGTTTGCCTGGCTCTCCCCGGAGATGCCAGAAACCGAACCTGGAAAGATCAGCATGCAAATTTCGTTCTGAAACAAGGCACGACCCAAGAGAAACATTTGTGTTCTCCATTATTTCCCACGCCGATCGCTTTAATGTGACTCGGACCTGAATCAGGTCCTTCTCTTGCAATCCTTCACAGAAACACAGCCTGTGGGTGGAAGCTCACGGCGGGCCATGCAGAGATCCCACTGCTATTTCTGCCCTTCCTTACTTGTCTTCCACTGCCGTGGAGCCGATCAAGTGCATGTTTTTCTCAATCCCGTCAAAGACCTGGGCCATCTTGGCTTCTCGGTCCTGCAGCGCCATGGTCGCCTCCTTGATCTGGCCATCGATCTCTTTGTATTCGGCGGCCGATATTTCTTTGTAGGCTACGCAGAGAGTTCGAAAGCCGTCCTGAAGAGGAACAGGTGAGGGGGAGAGAACACGATCTCTGAAGCCAGGTTTTCAACCCGCAAGTCAGCACGAGAACATTCGCAGGCCTTTTATGGATTGCACCCGACCCATAGATAGCACCTGGAGTGAAAGAGAGACAACCCACGTGCCAGGGGCAGAACCCCACAGGGACTCGAAAGAACCTACTGGATCACCGCAGAGGGCCACAATCTCTAGATAAGAGCAAACAAAGCCCTCCAAATGCTCCTTCCATGGCCCTAGTTAGCACAATCAACATCTGAAGGATTACATTTTACGCAACACCCCCAAGAGGACCCTCTGCTGATAAATAAACCTTCCTCTTCTCGTACAACAGGGAAATTGTTAAAAGCACAGAAGATGCCTGACTGCAGCCTGAACCAGCTGATAGAGCCAACATCCTTGGCTTGTTGCTTCCCATGATTGTAGGATCCCCCTACCTGCGGGAACAGTATCCGCTGATTCACTTATCTGCTACCTGAAAATACTAAATAAAAATCCCAGAGATACATACAGTGGTGCCTTGCTTTACAATTCCCCCGCATTATGACGAATCTGCTTAGCGATCTTTTTGCGATTGCAATTGCGATTGCAAAACAATGGTCTGAATGGGGGAATTTCGCTTTGCGATGATCAGTTCCCTGCTTCGGGAACCGATTCTTCGCAAAATGACGTTTTTCGAACAGCTGATTGGCGGTTTCAAAATGGCCGCCAGGTAATTAAAATTGCTCCCCACTGTGTTTAGGGATGGATTCCTCGCTATACAGATAGCGAAAATGGCCACCGTATGGAGGATCTTCGCTGGACGGTGAGTTTTTACCCCATTGGAATGCATTGAACGGGTTTCTATGCATTTTTTTGCTTTACGATGTTTTCGCTTAACAGCGATTTTCCTGGAACGGATTATCGTCGTTAAGCAAGGCACCACTGTACTTATATGCATTTCCAGGGTGTATTTACCAGAACTGGCCACTAGAGGGTGCGAGAGAGCATGCAATGTGTAGCATTCAATACATCCACGTTTTTGGGGGGGATCCACGGGGAGGGGGGGCTCAGAATCAATCCCCCACAGATACCTCACATGTGTTTCCTCAGCGTGCACTATGTGCGCAAGTTACACCTTGCTTTTCTCCCAGGACTGAGGCTCACGACAGTTCACAGGATTAAGGCAGGTACAGGCACGAATAAAAAGCAGGCACAAGTAAAAGCAAACAGAAAATATCCTAAAATGCAACACAACGATTTTTGTAGGAACACACAATCGGCAGGGCATCATTCCACAGCCCGGGAGCAGCAGCCCCTCAGAAAATCTAGACTCAAGGCTAGGGGTTGGCGTAGAAACCCCAGCGAGGGGTTCCTTACCAATGCATTACGCTCGACGTGTACTTTGGTCTTCTGTGCTTCCTCTGGCGGGACCCTTGGGAAAACGGCCGAGTCAGCTCCCTTGCAGAACAGATACAGTCTTCCTGACATGATGCAAGAAAATGGACAGGTTAACATCTTTTAATAACTGCGGAGAGTTGTTTGTTTGCTCATTCATTCATTCGTTCGTTCGTTCGTTCGTTCGTTTGTTTGTTTTTACCCCACCTTTCTCCTTAAAAGGACCAAAGGCGGCTTACATCATTTAATTATTAGTTTTTAAATAGATGGACAAGATCCGTAGGAAAAATTTTTTTGGTGGGGGGAGGAACTCACCCTCCTTTGTCTTCACAAGGACGCTCATCCGGCGACGGACACAGTCGAAATCCAGAACGTGCAGGAGGTGAAACCTTTTTAGAGAAAGAGGGACAAAGAGCGGTCAAGCGACAGGGGAGGTGTGGGTGGAACCGTATCGTAACCCCACCTCAAGTCTAAGGAGGTAAACCCTTGCTTGTGGAGTGCACCCCAAAGGGGTTGGAGGAAATTCTTCTGCATCCTTCCAGTGAGAGCCAGAAAATACCGTTTTTTTTCATGCACATTCTTGCAGAGCAGTGTGAACATTTCCAGGCAGCTGCTGTTGCTTTCCTTCAGGGATGATGCAAAGATCTGGCATTTTAAGGCTCAAAAGCATTTAAGGGATTAGTTGCATTATTTATTTTTTCTTTTCTTTTTTTTTAAGCATCAGTCAATCTCTGCTTTGCCTCCTGAAGGGCCAGGAAACTGGCTTTCCAGCGGGGACAGCTTGCAGGAATTGAAGAGGTCTTGAGGAGGAAAACAAAAGGAGAACCCTTTATTTTACTCTCATCTGGAATCTAGCCCAAATAATGGAGCACAGAATAGAGATGGGCACGAACCGCCGGTTTGGCAGTTCGCAGCGGTTCGTGTCTTGGCCGAACAGGTGCCTGGTGCTTCAAAGCCCCGCCTCCCCTGGTGGGCACCCACGCAAAGTCAGCAGCCTGGCTTCTCTGCCCTGCCTCCTCTGGGCACTGCCTCTGAGTGGGCGGCTGCCAGGGGAGGCAGTGCTTTAAAGCACCAAACTTGTGTTGGGTCGCTAAATGAACCGGCACAAACAGTCAGGGGAGGCAGTGCTTTAAAGCACCAAACTTGCGTTGGTTCGTTAAATGAACCGGCACAAACTGTCGAACTGACAATTCATGCTCATCTCTAGGAGGCATTCTGACATCCTAAAAGGTGCCACGAACTAAGCTCATGGGCTCAGTTGTTCCCCTTGGTGAACAACAGAGCCTGGCCTGAACACACGCTCGGCTTCCCTTCTGTGACATAAGAGGAAGGCCACACAACCCTCACACCTACCTTTCAATCTCCTTCTTTGGGTTCTGTACCTTCATGAAGTTATTTTCTTGTCCTAGAAAAGTGAAACCATACCTGTCAATGAACAAAAAGGACAGAATGGCGTTGAAAAAAAAAAAAAAAAACCAACACCACACAAACACACTTCAGGGTTTTGTGTTTTGTTTTTAAAAATAAAACAGACCTGAAATAAAGAACATAAATTTGAAAAAACACACATAAGAGGAGGTTTCACTGAGAACGCAATATTGGCAGGGTTACGTTTGAATTGCCATTTTGGGGTCGTATGGAATACCCACAGAAAACTTGGGGCTGGAGGCGGAGTCCAACAGCCGTGAAGCATGCTTCTAGTCCTCATGGACAAAGATATGCGTTCAAAAGGATATGAATAACACCTGCAGAGAGGTGGGCAATTAAGATTAATTGCCTAGGATTCAACACGGGTCCATGCGCTCGTAATCTCAAGAACAGACTACTGCAATGCTCTCTATGCGGGGCTGCCCTTGAAGATGGTTCAGGAGCTGCAGCAAGTGCAAAGCACGGCGGCCAGGCTGGGAATCCAGTACATCACAATTCGATTGCATCTCGCCAGCTGTGACGCATTTTCACCGGCTGCCTGTCTGCTTCCAGGCCATGTTCAAGATGCTCACACTAAGATGTGAAGCCCTTAACAGTTTAGGACCCTGCTGAGTACCTCTCGCTTAAAAGGTCTACTCGTTCCACCAGTCCCTCGTATATGGAGATGCTACGAGAGGCGAATCCAGGGGAGACTCGGAAATCTGCCACCCAAAACTGGGCCTTCTCTGTGCTTTCCGCATTGCTTTGGAAACTCGCTCCCATGAGAGTTGCAATGAGCCCCACCCCTCCTTGGTTTTAGGAGGCGAGTTTGAAACCTGGCTCTTTTCACAAACCTTTTATGGCCTTACCCCAGAGTCACCTTGCTTGAGGAATTGGGTTTTCTCTTTCTGTGGACCCGCTTTGTTCTGACACCTATTATTACGGTATTTTGTATTTTTTAAAAATTCTTTGATTGTTATTATCCTTTGTGTATTAGCTATTTTAGCTTTGAGATTATGTCCCTTACTTCTTGTTTCAAGTGAATGGGTATTACTAGGTTTGTTATTATTGTGGCCTTGCCGTTAGTTGGAATGAATGAATGAATGAATGAATGAATGAATGAATGAATGAATGAATACTGGTGCAAACAGACAAGTCTCCCTGCTCAGCTGCTGAGCGGACAGCTGTGGGGAAACCGGCAGGCTTCTTCTGTGATTGGCATGCTGATGATGCTGATGGACGTACACACCACACAGAGCCCATTGAATGGACTGGGCTGGTTTGGTAGGGCGGGAACAGCCCGCCATGGCACCTGAGGTGCCACACTTCGTATTCGCCTCCCCTGGATATAAATACGAAGCACCCATGTCTACTTATTATTCTCAGCTTTTGCAAGTAGGGAGCAGGTTAACCCCAACAGCCACGTCAGCAACCCTTTAGCCCCAATTCAATAAAACTCAAGGAGAAGGGCGTCGGGGGAGCTTCTGAGGCCATTCAACCCTTTAGCCCCAATTCAATAAAACTCGAGGAGGAGAAGGGCGTCGGGGGAGCTTCTGAAGCCATGCTTACTTTTGAGCTCCTTGTAGCAAGGCGATTTCGTCCGGGGAAGCGGCGACGTATTTCTGCGACCCGCCTGCTTGAGACGTCCCTGCATCGACTTCATCTCCTTTCTGGACCTGGACGGTGTGGCAGAGGCACAGGGCCCGCATGAACAGCTCCTCTCGACTCTGGGAAGGGAACGTCACAATGAGAAAGGACGCCGCGAGCAGACAGAACCAAGAGCAGATAAGAGACCCACGCATGAACAGCTCCTCTCGACTCTGGGAAAGGAACATTACAATGAGATAGGATGCCGCGAGCAGAGAGAACCAAGAGCAGATAAGAGACCCAAGACCATTACAGTGGTGCCTCCCATATCGAGGCTAATCCGTTCCGGATTAACCCTCGCTATGTGAAAACATCGCTGAACGGAACATAAAAACCCATTGGAACGCATTAAACATTGTTTAATGCGTTCCAATGGGCCCTAAACTTACCGTTCAGCGAAGTTTCCTCCATAGCGGCAGCCATTTTCACGCCCTCGGTAAGCGAGGGGAGGGCGCGAAAATGCTGCGCGCGGCCATTTCGGGTGCTCGGAGGCCATTTTAGAACCGCCGAACAGCTGATCCACGGGCATCGCAAAGCGAAGATCGGTAAACGAAACGCTTACCGATCGTAGCTATGCGAGTTTTGCCCATTGGAACGATCGGTATGCCTCCGCATTAGCGATCCTGAAAAGGGGATCGCTATGCGGCTTCATCGTTGTACGGTGCACTCGTTAAGCGAGGTACCACTGTACATACCACCAAGGGCTTCCACAAAGGAAAACAGGTGAGGCTAAAACTGCCAACTGTTTGGTTTTTTTAAAAAAAGTTGGAAGCACTTACAGCCAGAGAGAGAGACAGAGAGAGAGAGATAGGCATTTCAGCACAATACAGGTGCTCTGGGAGCAGGGTTCATGTTAAGAAAACGGAATATTTTCCAGTCTCTGAACTTTACATTCCAGCCAACTCAAGGTTGGGAGGCACAGTCTTAAGAGGCTTCCAGTTGAATTTTACCCTCTCTGCTTTTATGGAAGCCTTCGCCCCGTCCACTTCCGAAAAGATGCCGCTGTACTTGAAGCCGTCGATGCTGCATTCAATGAACTCCATGGTGTTTTCGGTTAAAGTCCCCGTTTTATCAGAGAACACGTATTCGACCTATAAGAGAAGGAGAACATGCCCTGGTTAGAAAGAGAGAGAGATTGAGATCCATGCTCATGCCAAAGACAGAATCTCTTTTTTCCAAATGTTCAATTTAATAAAATGGAAGCGGGGGGGGGGGTTACTTCAAGGTTTAACATCCATGAACTAATTTAAAAGTAAACAATGAAATCGATATCCTGGTTTATGAAATCATTTGCCTTTAGAATAAAGGACATGCTCTCAGTTTCCTATCAGTTATGGACACAGCTCTGATGTGACTGGGGATTTGCATGTCCTAAAATGGAAAACTCAAAATATTCTTCCATCCTTCAGCTGTGGGTTACTTCAGATGAAATCTAACACATCATTAGATATGCCTCGACTCAACATCTGCAAAGCCATCGCCTGGTATTATGTCTCAAGTTACCATGCTGATTATGTGGTTGTGAGATCGGTCTCCCCTCTCCCACTTATTTTTATAACACTGCGTCTGATGAAGAGATCCGTTGGTCTCCGAGCCTTACCTACTCCCCTCATTTTTGGTTACCCTGATAAAAAGATACTGCCCCATGCCTCTTCCAGTTCAACACTCTATTTTGGAATTCCAAACTACCTCATGTCACTGGAAAACGTCTGCTCGCTTCAAAAGCAGGAAATCAAAACCAACCAGAAGCCAAGTCTGATTCCAACAAAGACAGCTCCGTGAAGGCTACATGGAAATTTAATGGCCTGTTTCCACTCCAACCGGTGAAAATGCTATATAAGGAGCTGGCTTACAAGAATTGTTTGAGCAAGGAATAAGTGGGTTGAAGAGGAGAAGCCCTTTCCCCTTCTAACAATGTTATAGCACGTCGGGGTTTGGTCTAGGGACAGGAACATAGAGATGGGTTTAATCTTGTGCCCCAGGTCGGCCGCTGGGGCCTCTTGGATCATGAGGTAAAAGATGATGCTCTAAAACTCATTTCCTGAGCAGGTTCTATTGCTGTGACCCTTATTCTCTCCACATTCCTCTTTTGCTTCTAAGCTGCCAGAGGCGGATAACTCTTCTTATGTTGTTACATGTCTTACAGAAACCCAAATAGTGTTTTCGAGGGAAGTGAGCTGTTCCAAAAAGCAATGTCAGAAACCCCAGGGGGTTTCCATGGCCCGGCTAGGCTTTGAACCCAGGTCTCCCAAGTCCTAGACTGACAGTCTGTCCACTGCATCGCCAATTCTCACAAAGGTGAACCCTCAGGAGAGGAATTATTTTCAGGGCCCCCATGGTCAATAATTCTCAGTTTGGGGCACCCCACGTCCCACAAAATAATATAACAAGACACCTGAATCCTACTGCAATTTTTTTAAATGCCATTTCTGTCCAAGTTGGAAAGGCACATGTTTACAAGGTATTATAATATTAAGTCTATTATTTCCTGTAAGTTGGTCAGCAGAGGACTGCAGCATTAGAAAAGAAACAAATAGAATCATCAGCAGATAATACTAATAAATGGATAATCAGTGACAGGTAATATTCTTAGCAGATGAATACATAGAGGAAGACATGGGGTCTGAGGGGTAATTTTTAAAATAAAAAGCTTGCATGCAAGCATGCATGCCCCTGAACATTTCTGCTGGTAATACACGTCCTCTTGGTTGAGAATTCATTCGTCTACTTGTAGAAGAATGCTTTACAGGGTGGAGAAAACCCAAGAGTACAGAAAGAAGGTGAGAGATCAACACCATTCAAATCAAGTTTGGGGGGAAAAAAGCAGAGTTTGTAGGGCTTTGTTGACGTGGTAAGTCTTCACAGGCAGCCTTTGTAATGGTAGGGAGGGAGAGAGAGAGAGAGAGAGAGAGAGAGGCTGTGAAAAATTAGAGCAGCCCAACCGAAGAGGTTGACGCACACAGTGTGGATTTTAAGCCTGACATTTCCCCACATAGTAACAGGCATGTAAATCCTGCTCAGCGAGAGCTAATTATAGCATCTAGTACTCAGGGGTCTCAAGGATCATTCTTTAGTACATATACATAATTAAAGAGGCTTTTTTTTTTACATTTAAATCCTGCAGTGAAAGGAAGATGAGAATCTGGGAGTCTCGGGTTTTATTAGAGCCTGATCATCAAGCCTGGGTAACAGCACCGGCAGGAATACAGCCCTCCGCTCTTCCTGGCATCCCTGCTTATTCCACAGCCGGCGTTTGCTTTCTCTGCATTTCAATCGCTGCTTCTTCGTTCTCACCAAGGAGCGCTGGTACCAACACAGTCCAAGAGAGAAAGGGGACGTGATTCCTCCGGCTAAGAGCAGGGTCAGCTCGTTGGAGGTCTTCAACTTAGATAGATGGACCACAATGTGGAGGGGCAGAGGGTCCTGCATTTCTGGACCCTGGATGCATCTCTGAAACGATTTCACCTGCCTTCGTGGGCTGCTGAACCTTTCAACTGCAAGCATCTTTAAAATGCACAGAACTGATTTGCATTCACTGTACAGGATCTGTCACCAGGACGACATGTTTCACTGCCTTCCCACACTCTTTTTCCCAATCCTACATTACCTTATTAAAAACACCATTAAAAGAGCTTTTTCCTATAAAGCTTCTTTGGTTCAATCTTCTCACTTAACACAAAGAACAAGCAACCCATCCAGAACCCTGGGCTACTGTTTTCCTCTTCCTTAGGGTCACTGCCATGCTAGCAGATCGATACAGATGGCCTGGATATTTACTGCCCATTCCTCTACTTTACAATGGGTCCCCAGATGTTCTTGGACTGCAACTCCCAGAAGCCTTCACCACCACCTCTGCTGGCCAAGATTTCTGGAAAGTGTAGTCCAAGAAAATCTGGGGATCTGGGATCCACTACTTCATCTACTAAGAACTGCCACTGATTTTAGGGAAGGTTACTCCCCAGAAACTGGATAGAATTGCAGCGCCGGTGTGTTTTTCATGGAATCTAAGACACTCTTTCATTTTTTATTTATTTCTCAGTTCTCTTGTGTCAGATCAGGAAACTAAAGCCATTGCTGGCTTCCGTAAGTGCTAAGAGTGCTCGGCTAAACATCTTCACCACCCACGGCTGGTGACCAGAAGTGCTCTCCAGCTAGAAGCATGGAAGACTGCACCGGGAAACCTTCTGCACACCTCAGCTTATGTTCCACCAATGAGCCATGATCCCTCCCATTAGATGAATCTGGAGAAGACTCATGTTCAGGTCACCCTTCCCTGACCTCCCCTAAGGGAGGGCATGGAGATCAATGTTCTCTCTCAGCAGGCCAGAACAGATGGGTCACTCAAGGTCTACAAGGGTAGCTTGAAAGCTTTCTAGATCCAGGACCAATGATTAACATCAGACAGAAACACAAGATGGGCTTTTAACTCGGTATCATGTATAATTAACTACCTGCTGTCAAGCTGATTGCAAGGCTTTCTAGCTATACAGCACTCAGATGGTGCTTCATGGTCTTTTCTTTCGGAGTGCCTTGGGACTGTGCCGTTTGCCCCGTGGCTACCCAAGATGAGTTTTGTCCCATGATGCGCACTAGGGAAATCAAACTCCAGACCTCTGTTATCAAACTAGCTCTGAACTGAACTTATACTTCCCTTTCCAGGGAGACCAGACACAAAGGAACAGAAATGACAGCCCCATTATCATCAAATGACTGAGTAGTGGAGAAGAAATGTTGGACATTTCATGATGTTGTCAAAACTGCAGAGTTGGAAGGAACCCTATGGACCATTGAGCCCAGCCCCTATCAAGAAGGCATAGTGGGGAATCAAACTCCCAACCTCTGCCTCCGCAGCCAGGTGCCTGAACCACTGAGCTATCCAGCAGTTCTAGCTCAGCCTGATAAAGAGCATTATCAAAATTCCTGTCTTTCTCAACTGCTGAACACGAGATCCCTCTTTGTTTGCAACTGGGAATTCAGATCTACCCAACCGACAATGACAATGGCAACCAGCTGCAAGAGGAGGGAACTTGTTCTGCCACAAGAGATGGGTTCTATTTCAAAGAAATTATTGAGGGCTGAATTTCAAGGGTAGGTAGGGGGGGAAAGTGAATGGGTGGAGCCAAAAATCCTATTATATTATGGCCAATAGGCTCCTCTACTGAGAGTGGGAAGGGATCCCAGTGGGTGGACCACAATGGATGGCAACAGCAGAAAGGAAAAGGAGAACAGTTTTTCCTTCTCCCTCCCCACCCTATTTCCTTTTGTGTTGTGACCTTTTGGAATACAAAACCGAGGGCAGAGACTGGATTATTTTGATGACTACGCTGCGCCCTTTAACTCCTTCTGCTCCTCCTATTAAACGGATACATGAGCAACTTCAAAAACATTTTCCACTGTTCAGTAGGGTATAGATCCTAAAAAGAAAGCAACAGGAGAAATTGTTGACCTGGCCAAGCTCTTCGTTGAGGTCGGAGGTGTTCACCAAGGCCCCTTCCTGCCGGGTCTCATCGTACATCTCTTTATCCCATGAAATGAAGAAGGAACCCAAGAATTTCTGCATCTCAACCGTCACATACATGGAGACCGGGATGATGAAATTGAACAGAACCATGAAGGACAGGAAATCGGTGAACGTCTTTAAGAGCTAAAAATAACAGAGAGAGATTCATTGGTTATTAGAGCTTTTCCACCTTCATCCATCCTGAATGATCAGATGTAATAATCTATACTTTTCATTTTTATTTTTCATAGTGTGAGCATCCCTAGCTGTCTACATTTCACGATATCTTGGCCTTTACTCATCTGCCTAAAGTATTTCTTCTCTGGGCACAGAATTTCTTAGCTTCATATGATAATTTCACAGTTCAAAAACGTCTTTCTTTTATACTAGCCTGTGTTAATGTGCATGACTCCATGCCATCTAATAGAACTGAGAATGCACAACACTACGAAAGACAAGTTCTGAGAGAGAGTGTTCTGATTTTTCTCGCATCATCTTCTTAAGCGCCATCCCCGTAAGCGGGCTTTTACTGCCTGGATAGCTTCTCACTTGATTCCCGGGTATTTATATTTGCCAATATGTTCCGCAGCAATCCAGTGGAAGCAAACTCAGATTACCTTGAAGGTTTCTCTGTCCTTTTGGGTTTTGTGATTGTACCAAGGCTCGTCATTCGACGGAATGCTTTCCCAGATGTACTTCAGCGTGGTACACACCGTCGCCTTGCCCAGGAGAATGCACAAATAGACAATCAAGAAGGCATTGATTGATCTGGAAAGTCAAAGCGCCCCAAAGCAAAACATAAATGTTACAGCTCTCTGTGATGTTTCCCAAGCAAGGACAGTATGCTGCATTGATAAGCAGCAGAACGCAGGAGTTGGACCATTAATACTTTCTCTTTGCATTACACACAGGGAAACCACCTTGGAAGAGCGTCTGGTGGTGCTGGGGAGGAGGGGAACATGGGCTGTCCGTGGACTGAAACTACAACCAACCCATGCAAAGCAGGGATCAAGACTGCTGGGGTTTGCAGATCAGCATCTGGACGGTGGAAATTCCCCCTCTCCTATTGTAGCCTCTCTTTCCTGTTTACAGGTATTGCTCTCTACAAAGCTGCTAGCAATATATACAACGGAAGAAGCTTGAAGGTGCACTCTCCAGACGCTATTTTTGAAAACAAAATCAAAGCAATTCAGCTGTTGCTTTTCTTTTTTTAATTGAAATGCTGGCACGCTTGCTTACTTTTCCACTGCAGAGCGTTTCTGAGACTTCCCTTGATAGTTCAAAGCCATTTTGGTTTCCATTCCAGTGTAGACAGCAACCCCTGAAAAAATAAAATCTTTTTTTTTAAAACAGCAACAACAACAATCTCGTACCTGGCACGCAAAGGCTGCCGCTAACATTTTCTTTTTCCATTTCCCCAACTTAGCCTGACAAGACTTTTGTCCATTTCCTTGATCCTTCTTCAAACAGAATCCCGAGGTGGTTGCTTTTTTTTAAAAAAGCAGCTTCTACTACATTAATTAAAGGCTTTATGAAATGTTCTGTCTTAAAGCCACACAAGTCTCAAATGCAAATAACATCTGTCAAAACAAAGAGATTAAATATGAGTTCTATTATCTGCAGCAACATCATTTCTGAACAACTAGAAAGACCCGATGCATGCTTCTGCCCACCTGTTGATTTTAAGGACGTTCTGCTGCCCCTGATCCCCTACCAGATCTTGGAAAGTTACTTTTCTGGATTACAACTTCCCAAAGTCCACAGCAAACATTCTCTCCTCCCCATCCTTCCATTATCCACTGGGATGTAGGTCGGGCTAAGCGACAGTGACTGGGTCGGGATTATCTAGAGCAGTGGTCCCCAACCTTGGGCCTCCAGATGTTCTTGGACTACAACTCCCAGAAGCCTTTGCCGCCACCTCTGCTGGCCAGGATTTCTGGGAGTTGAAGTCCAAAAACCTCTAGAGGCCCAAGGTTGGGGAGTACAGATCTAGAGAGCTTCAGCAGATGAGTTTGAATTTGAATAATTCTATACATGCATGCCGTCAAGTCAGTTCTGACGGCTGGTGACCCTTTTTCAGGGCTTTTATAGGTAGGCAGTACTCAGAACTGGTTAATTAACAATCTCTTCTTCTGTGTCCACCCTGGGGCTGCCCAGCTTGCCCAAGGCCACACGGGCTGGTTCTTCTACTTGAAGGCACAAAGTGGAATCGAACTCGCAACTTCCCCAGCCAGGTGCCTAAACCACTGATCTATCCAGCCAGCTGGAATTTGAATAGGTGTCCTTAGTTGTAATCCAGCCAAGTAACCACTGGTTTCTCCTGAATGAAGCACGAGACTTTTCAAGGCTAGGTCTCTGCCCTCAAGGGGCTTCCGATCTAAATTGCCGCACGAGGAATACAAACAGTGGCTCGCTCTTGCGAAGGAAGCAAGGCTAAGCACGAAAGAATCTGAGCTGCGAGTGACTTAACAGCACCATCTGTTATACATTTACTCGGCAGTAAATCCTACTCCTAATTAAATGTGCACTGGATTGCAGCCTAAAACATTTCTTGAGAAGCACACACACTCAACGGAGTTCCTCTCTCTTTCACGGAGAAAGAGAGAAACATAAAAGCAGTTGCTCACCGTAGATCTTAGGGGTATTTTTTAACGTTGCACCTTTTAACAAGAGGTTCTCGGGACCCAGCGGCCTGAAAAAAAAAACAACCCGGCTGTCAGATGGTTTTGAAAAAGGAGAGGTGTTCTCAAAATGGCAGCTAAGGAAGCTGGGTTTCGGGAGAGTGAAGTAATTTTAAATAAGACAAAAAGATGAAGCCATTACTGCAGCCCAATTACAAGGGAGACTTAAAATTAAAGAAAATAAATGGATGATGAAAGAGGGAGGAGAAAAAGGATATCAAAAAACTAGCAGATGATTGATGTTCTTTAGACAACAAAGGGGCCAACTAGCTAATGGTAAAACACAGGATGCGATCAATAAGGTAATAATGAAGAACATAAATAGCCGACGAACCTGGCTACTGGCTCTTGGTTGCGCTTGTAGATGTTAATTCGCCCCACAAACCTGTAATAAGAGATACGCATAAAGGGGTATTGGTTAAATGCTGCTTGTAAATGAGTAACTGCAAAAATGAGTCACCGGGAACTTTCCAGGAAAATAATTCAGTAGCCAAAGAGTGCCACACCATCAGAGACAGAGCCCCTGGAAGTTCTCTGGCAACAGACACAATCTATTTGAAAACAGTTGAGATGGGCAACAACTGCTGGTTCGGCTGTCCATCTGAGAAGTGATCTGCAGGTCCAAGCCCCATCTTCTCCAGTGGGCATCACCTGGTTTCCCTGCCCTGCCTCCTCTGGGCGCTGTCTCGGAATGGGTGCCTGCTAGAGGAGGCGTGGCTTGGAACCATAGAAAACCTGTTGGACTGATGGACGAACCACCATGAACCGCCCAACTAGCGGTTCCTGCTGATCTCTAAAAAAAACCAGCATCACAAAACAACTGCCTTATTTAGAGCGTGTTCAACAGAAGTTTTGACTTTAGAGACAAATGTTTACTCATCGGAGGATGCCAAAGCCACCACCCTCTCTGGCACTGAGAAAACTCGCTCATCTGTCAAGGGGCTACAACTGAAAGGAGCGGTGGGAGGAGGAGGAGGAGGGAGCCCTGCCTTCAGGCTCATGGATGTAAACCGGGGAAGACACTGAAGCACATCTGAGAGGAAAGAAGGGGAGTGGAAAAAAAAAGAGGGAGGAAGAATCAATAACATGCCAGCGGCAGGACAAGCTCGGCTGCTGGGAGAGGAAAGCTGATGGATTTGCTCAAAATTAGCCTGAAGGTCACTCTTTGGGAATCAATTTCAGTATATACAGAAAAATAGGTTAACTTTCCCATTCAGGGGAAAAACAGCTTTATAGCTGCAGATGTAGAAATGTTCAAAGCCTGGAAAAGTTGCTTCTTCCTCCTTCTTCTCCTCGGTTTGTTTGTTTGTCTGTTTAGAGGAGCTACGATTCTCAAAAACAAAACAAAACAAAAAACCCTAGCCATCAGAATCATTTTCCATAATAGGACCTTTTCAAATTCCTACCCAGATTCAGTCTTTAGTATCTGCACATAGGGATAAAATACAGAAGACCCACTGCTCCTTGTCAGGGCAAGCAATAGTGAGGTGGTTGGAACCGATCCCTCTTCTTTTGCATCATCATAATCATTATCATAATTATCATCATCACTGTTATCTTTGCTGCCGAAGTCAAGGTTTGCATAGTGTTAAGATAAGTAAGGAGGGTGTGAAAAAGCAATCCTGAACAAGTACACTGTGTTTTAAAAATGAGGCTTGAACATCAGTTTACTAAAGGTGACTGCAAAATAATGTAAAATAGCACTGCCTCATAAAGAATCTCCTGCATAAGCGAGCGAACAATCGAACATGTGTAAACAAATAATAAAAAGCAATTAGGGGAAGGACACTTAGAAGCCTAAAATGAGCACAGGACCTGACCAAATTTGTTTATCAACACTCCACTCAGGGCATTTTATCTACCTAGTAAATTACTGTGGGGCCAGTTAGCTATTCCCGCAGCAGTTTTTAGAGAACATATTCCTTCTTCTTAATCCTTGCCAGGGAGTGGCAAAGGATTACATTTGAGTATTAATGTAGTGAACCAAATATAAACCATCTAAAGCTGCTCCATATAGTTAAAGCAGAAGCCACTACCTTGTGGTCTGACTTGGGAAATCCACCCTTTCACAAGACACAAAGCGGGGCCAACCCAGAGAACAAGCTACAGGAAAAGTTCTGAATCCCACAACATACCTGTAGAGGTCTGGCTGAGGCTGTTCACATTCTATGGTGGCAATAAGGTGATTTAGGGCTTGGCACGTACAGAGGTTGGCTGTATCCTGCACTGTATAGTGGGTCTGCATTGAGACAGAGACAGAAAACCAGTTAGCAGCCCTTTATTGTCCAGAAAATCTAGCATTTCTTTAATGTGTGTTTTAGTCACCCTGGACAGCTTATATTTTTTAAAATTGCATTTGCTTCCACCTTATTGTTTGATAGCTCAAGTTATCGGCAAGTCTCCTTGAGCGATTTTGGGCTGTAAAGAAAGAGGGATGGATGACCACAACTTTTTGTTCTTTTTTGAGGGGGGGGGGAACCCGCAAGACAAACGTGCTATAATTTGTGTGCTATATCCAGCCAGAGGTTTGAATTTTATAGCGGGCTCTCTGTGCAAAACAAGATGCTCACTTCCTCTCTCTTGTGGATAGCCAGCTGGGATCCCACCTCAGAGAAGCTGGTGCCTGAACAGCATTTAGGGAAACTATTTTGCAAGCCGACAAATCCCAGGAGGGTCTGGAAGCTGTCATCTAAAAAGCAGCTTTCCCACACTGTGCTTCTAGGGCAACATGCTTACAGCAGCATTATAGGTTCCTGACAAGGGGGTTTCCATACCTAGCAAAGTCACACAATAGCCCTCCTGAGCGGCTTCCATTGACCTGCTGGTGAGGAACACTCTCACTTCCCTAAATATCACAAATAAGTGCAGATCTGTCTTTCAACAGGTGTAACAGTTCTCCTACAGGGCTAGCTGAAGATTGCTTTAAGGTAATCCAGTAAGTAAGTTAGACATCAGAGAGGGAGGGGGTTATTCTTAGCATCACCCAGAGCACAGACTGGATTTTCACCTTCATTAAATTAGAAAAGCCAATGAAGAACCTAAAATCCTTCATTTTCAAAAAGGTTCTATTCTGAGAAACTATCTCGGAACTCACAGCTCACTCCTGTCGACAAGATACATGGCCATAATCCATCTTCATAAACAAAACTCGCCCGGATGCTTCCCGAACTCGTTATCTCTAAATTTCCCTCATTTTAAGCTGGAGGAGAAACAGCTCTATTGCATCAACAGCAGGAGATGATTAATGGGGTTTGAGAAACCAGGGGTAGAGCTTAAAAGCTTGGCAGAGTTAAACTAGTTTCTCCATTTCAGACCAAAAGAAAGAGCTCATTCAAGATTTTATGTGCATTCCTTCCGGGACCGCACATCCTGTTGCATTTTTCTCTTATAAACCACAGAGTGGTGAGGTGGGTTAGAAGGCCAGGTCAACTAAGCTCAATATACTTAGGTGCAACCAAAAGCAAGAAATAATAATAATAATAATGTGCCGTCCAGTAAATTCTGACCATTCCTCAGTGTTTTCTAGGTAGCGTACTCAAAAGTGGTTTGCACTTCCCTTCTTCTGGGGGCGTCCTGGGACTATGCAACTTGCCCCAGGCCACCCAGGCTGGCTCTCCTTCTAGGAGGCACAGTGGGGAATCGAACTCCCAACTGAGCATTCCAGCCAGCTAACAAAAGCAAGGAAGGGCACCAATATTCAGCTATGATTCCAATGTTTCCAACAAACTCACTGCCATGTGAGGTTAGAGAAAGGAGAATCAAGTACATCCGCTGACAAAGGACAATGGGAGCTGCAGTTCAACATCAGAAAAGCCATCAGTTGTCCATGCCATCATGATAACCGACAGCTGTTATGATGACTACATGGAACATCCATGCTTTGATAGAGGGCGCAGCAATGTTATGGGATGGGGAAACAGACAGGGAAGGGAAGGTGACACCAGCAAGTTGAGGAGAAGGCCAGGCTAAATGAGATTTGGTTTGAATGGAATCACGGACACCCATTGTCTTGGGAAAGCCCACAAGCCATCTGAAGTGGCAGAGCCTGAATATATTTTACGTGTGTGGGTGAGAACCAGCCCCTAGCCCTTGCAGCCAAGGAAAAATTAAAAGGCCACGAAGGTCAGACCGGGCCTGTTTACCCATTCTGTTACCTTGACATTCGACTCTCCATCGAGGCTAGCGGTTGTGACATAACAAGACCCATCCTTGCTATTCGAGGCGAGGAAGATCAGATCGCAGGGAAAGGTTTCATCGGCCGACACTTCTACGATGTCGCCAACCTGAACATCAAAACCGAGAGATTACCCTGTATTGCAAACAACTGGGCCGTAGGTATACCTGTTCCTTCCTCTTAAAAGCTCTCTGTTCCTACTTCCTCAAAACTAACTTAAGAGTTAGAAAAGCATCCAACACACAAAGGAACGGGCCACTAAGCCTTTTCAAAACCTTTCTAACTGTTACAGGTTGTGTCCCTCTGAAAACAACAGCTCCAGTGTGTGTTTTCAAAGAAATGGAGATTTACCCTATAAGCTCCATGCCCAGGTTATAATGGTCTTTTTTCCCTTTTCTTTTCAAGGGATTAGATGGGGATTCTTGCAATCCCCAGTCACCAGGATTGGCAGGTTTAAGCTCTATTTGTTTGAAACAAAATCTCCTGAACTTTGGACGGGCCCATGCTTCAGACGACACAGCCATCCAAAATACCCACCTCTGGTATTACTACCTGGCAAAAACGCCAGTCACTGCTCTTCTGGGGTTGATACCAAAACCCAGCCTATTAGCTTTTTCTCAAGCATGGATTTTTCCCCCTTTTTTTGCCTGACAGACTGACCACAGACCTTTCTATCCGTCCCAAGCTTGTTCGATCACCTGCATTGGATTCTTCGTGGCCTGTGGCTACCCAATAAAAGTTGCAAAATACAGATATTTCAAGAGTTAGAAAAGCCTCCAAGGCTTTTATTCAAGGTTATTCATAAACAACTTTTTGTTGTTTAGTCGTTAAGTCGTGTCCGACTCTTCGTGACCCCATGGACCAGAGCACACCAGCCTAGATAACTTCGCCTGTTAAAAATCTTGGTATCTGTGGAAATAGCTACAGGAGACAAGAAGGTTGTGTCAATCCTAAATCCAAAGCTCCAGAGTGTGTTTTGAAAGCTTCTTCACTGACGGTCTCTCTAAGGGTGGATTCTTTAAAAGAGGACTGTTGTACTTCTGTTGTTTTTAATGTGATTTTAGTACCACTTTCATCTACAACTTTTAATGTTCTATTTGTATAATTCTTTTATAATTCTTTTTTTTTCATATTGCAACCATCTATTGCTTTTAACTTTTAATAGTTTATTTTTTGCCTTGGGTCCTTTTAAAGAAAAAGGTGGAATCACACTTTTAAATGAATAAATTCTCCCCCTGCACTTTAAATCTCTGCTTTCCACTACAGCCTTCCTCTCCCCGAACAGGGCACCTGCCATCTCTGTTTCTCCCATTCCCCTGCCCCATTTCTGCCTTACCTTAATGTTTTCACATTCTTTCTTCACCCGCTCTGCACCTTCGATCACGATGACAGTGCTTTTGTTCACTTCCTTGTCCGCCCGGTGACGCAGCCAATCTTCATAACCCTGAAGGCAAAAGAAGACGTTCAACATGACCAGATAACAAAGACAGTAAAAAGAAGTCAAAGGGCAACAGAGGGAACAGCGTTGTGATCATCTTCCATTTGGGAGAACTCAACATGGACTGGGTAAATGCTGAAACTTCCATTGAGTGAATTCTAGAGTTTTTTTTGAATGCTGTTGAAAATTAATAGGAGAACTAGCATTCACGCCTAATTTTAAAGAATCAGATAATTGTAGGGCTGGAAGAGACCCCAGGGGGTCATCCAGTCCAACCCCCTGCCGAAGCCGGAAATCCACAACTCAAGCATCCCTTGACTGGTGGCAACCCAGAGTGGATAACAATCAATGTGTGTGTGTTTTTGTAATCAAATTGATTTAAATATCATTTAAATTTTTAAAATAGCATTTAAAAAAAAATTAAATCACAAAACCCCTCATTTTGAACATTTAAATCAAATCCACCTTGCCACGTCATCTAATGTCTGTTCAAAAACCTACAACGAAAGAGGGCCCGCACCTCCTGAGTTATGTTTAATAGAAATAATGGGCCATCAAGTCAATTCTGACTTATGGTGACTCTTTTCAATGTTTTCTGGATAGAGACCGCTCAGAAGGAGTTCCCTGTTCCCTTCTTCTGCAGGCACTCTGAGTCTCCAAGTAGCTTGTCCAAGGACACATGGGCTAGTTCTCCTCGTTGGGAGGCATGGAGGGGAATCACACTGCCAACCTCTGGCTCCAGGTACTTAAACCACTGAGCCGACCCGTTGGGTTACATTTAGACATCTCGTATTTCCTGAACACATCATTTCCTGACTTACGGAACACCTACTTCTACTCCCCTTCCTCAAACCATCCAAAGAGACGGTGGCTCCAATATGGGGGGGAAGCACCCCCCCAACAAATAAATCCATAAGAATATTTTTCCCTGTCTTTTTATTTTAATTTGATGTGTAACAGAATTGTACAAAGTTGAAACTTCAGGATGCTGTTTACAATTCGTGAGGTGACAGACCTGAAATGCCAACGCTCTGATCCAGTTCCGTATGGCTTCTGCAGCGCAGTAGTTCTACCGTGCCCCCCCTCCATGTGCAAATGGAGACGAATCGCTCCTTTGTTTTGCGCTCCCTGCAGGGTAAGGCTTGGACGGTGGGAAGAGAGGAAAGTACCTGCTTAATAGCCGTCACTGTAATGACGAAGAAAAGAGGAAGACCGCTGGTGACGGGGCTGGTTGGTGTGTCCACTATGACCTAGCAAGAGGGAGGGGGAAGGCAACGTATTCAGATTATTCAATCTTCAAAGCCTATGGACTGAGAGACGTAACATGGCCCACTTGTACAACACCCTCAAAAACGGATCCCTGGAAGACACAGTAAAAGCCCAGGTAGAAAGCAGAGATGTTTATTCAAGAAGATCAACACCCGCTCAAAGAGAAAACCCCAAAACTGTTTGTTCCTTCCAAGCATCCTGTCCAAACCAGGATCTGACTGAAATTACAGCTTCCTCAATGATGGTCCTCAAGAATTTTTGGAGATCCCTCTTTGAGGATCTAAAAGAGAACCATCTGGATGCCTCTGAGGCGGCTTTATGTTCCAGAACAAGACATTCCTGGTAGAGGAATCCTTTCTGTGTACATCTCAACCTTCCCAGCCGTTCTTGTTGTAAATACTTAAGGTTTATGAATATATGTGACGTTCCAGTCCCAAACCCACTGCCAGTTGGCTACCTCGAGACCTAAGCAGATGTTTCAAGATGTCTTTCCATAAAAAAAAGAACCACCACATTTCAGAAGACCGAGCTATTTGGGAGCCCTTCCATCCATAAACAGAAGGCGGAAGGGCGAAACTTGTTTTGTCAAAGTTTACGCAGAAAGTCTCCACAATAATTTGGAGATATGTTTAGATCACCAGCTCTTGTGAAGTCCAAAAGGTGTAGGAATGGCAGAAGGGCAGCGAGGTTACTATAACAGACATACGAAAGCCAAACGGCCGCACAGACTGAAGATGGCAAGCTTGTGAAGGATAGCTGTGGAGAAAGTTCTGCCAAACAATGTGAGGAGTCTGTCCATCTTGAAAGCTATCACAAGTTCCCTCTTCTTTTGTGAAAAACGTTCAGGTTATATCTGGGGTATGGGAATCAAATAAAATTAATTCATTTGGGTTTGGGTCAGGTTTCATTTCTAACGGGTGGGAGTGGCACTTTTGTTATGTGATGCCAAGCATCATTTCATGGCCCTATAAACATGATTCCCATTGATGGTACCCAAGGGAAATATAAATAATAATAGTCATGGGCTATTATTTATCAGGTAGAGGGTACTCAGAAGTAGTTTTACCATGTGCTTCTTCTGGGGTTGCCTTGGGACTGTGCAGCGGGGAATTGAACCCACAACCTCTGCAGCCAGAGACCTAAACCACTGAGCTATCCAGCCAAGGGGAAAAAAAAAGAAGCCAAAAAGGAGTGAAAAGGGACACAGAGATTTTTCACCATGGTGTTTAGTGTCATTAAGGCTTTCTACCTTGTGTCTCTCTCTCACACGCCTCCACACTCACAAATACATTCACACCCCTGTGAGCAGAGCTGTCTTTTGTATCCTTAACCAGGCATATTTCTGGGCACTTTTTCCAAGCCATAAAGAGGTGGGGATTAAGAGATGCTTCCCCCCCCCATTAATTGCAAATCAGCGAGAAAGCAAAAAAATAAAAAAATAAAAATCTGCATGCATGTCTAGTAGCACCAGTCTTCTTCTTTCAAGCAATAATTATAGCCTTCCTTTCAACCCCTTTCCAAGCCGAAGCCTCTTGGGCATTGGAGGGACTCCTGTTGATGTTTCTGTTCCTGGCAAATGGGTTGGCGCCACGCAGCCAGTTATCTCTGCGTACGGACAAGGCCATTTCTAATCTTGAGACCCCCCTCGCCAGCCCCAACGTCATCTCAGTGACACAAGATCTGAAAGATCTAGAAGACAGGGCTACGGTCATGATGCCCCCTTAGCGTCATTGTTTTAATTAGCTGGAGCAACCTCTTTCCGAGATCACTTTCTCTCCGACTGCAAGGATGATGCGCAAATGGGCCAAGAGTTCTGTCTTAGAGGCTGACGTGATCTCATTGTCATGAATACCATTGCCGTGAATTCAACGCCCTCCAATTAGCAAATTCCGAGGCACATTCAAATGAGAGATATAAACCCTTGGTTCTCTTGTCCTCACATGCAAGGAGAAACATGAACTACAGCTTTCTTTGCCTTCCCGGTGACGAAACTGAGATGTTTCCCTCATGTTATCAACCAGAGTTCTCCACAGGCGAGAATGTGTTTTCAGGGTGCATGGGCACAACTCTGCAAAATTATGATGGCTGCTAGTTTGTTTCATGGGTTTTAACATTTAGAAGTACCAGATATACTGTTTGCGACCTTTTAAAACCATCAGCCTATCCTTCTGGGTTTGTCACTTACGTCTGCTATGCCTCTCAAAGGAAAACAACTGTGTTGAGACAGTTTCTGCAAACTTATTTATATAAAATATTTGGGTCCTCTCTTTCTCCCAACAAAGGATTTGGGGCGGCTGACATCATTTAAAACACAATATTAAAAGCTGAAAAGATCAAATGATTCAAATATTAAAGAAGAGGTAATAACAGTGTTTAAAATGTTAGGTAAAAAGCATTATTAAAAACAGACTTAGAAGCAACATGTTAGGTAAAAGCATGACTAAAAACAGACCTAGAAGCAATGCAATATAAACCATCCTGTTTATTGTCTCCTAGATAGCCAGTCACTAAGGAAAAGCTTGCCTGGAGAGGACAGCAAAGATGGGGCCAGTCTGGCCTCTTGTGGGAAGGAGTTCCAAAGACTAGGAATAGATGGGGCCAGTCTGGCCTCTTGTGGGAAAGAGTTCCAAAGACTAGGAATAGCCACAGAAAAAGCCCTCTCCTGTGTCTCCACCAAGTGCACCTATGGAAAGGCTTGTCCTGATGATCTTCTTAACATCTAGGCAGGCTCATAATGGAAGATAGCTTGGTCCCAAGCCATTTAGGGCTTTATAGCTTAAAGCCAGCATTTTGAATTGTGCCAGGAAATTATCAGCAGCCAGTGGAGCTGCTGTAACAGCAGTGACCTTCATAGGAGACAGGGAGAGCCCCTTATCTTGCCACCCATACTGCAAGCAAGATAATTCAGGGGGCTCACAAATTCTTTCTTGAGATGTCTCACTGTGTGCCTAGGGCCCAATCCGGTGTGGACAGAGAATCTACTCAGTAGTCTTCACGTCCCAAGCTCCAGTTTACAAAGAATGAACTGAGTAGGTTAGCCTCACCTACAACAACTGTTTTTTTTATTTGTGAAAAATCCCAGTGGAGTGAACTCTTTTGTCACAAGGACGTGAAATGAATTCTCATCAAAGAGGGTACGTGCGAGACAATAAGAGGGCCCCTTTTTCGAACAACAGAAATGTCATCGGTTGTTTGGTAGAATGAGCAGGGCAGCTGAATCAGCCCGTACTGTCCCTCCCTGAAAAGCTGATCTGCAGGATTTTTGCTTTTAAAAATAAATAAATAAATAAAGGCCCCATTTGTATTGTCCAGGCTAAAGAATCAGGAAGTGGAAGTGAACAAAATGCCTCCATCCATGGCTTCCACTTTTTTTATGCAATGAGAAATGAATAAAGGCTTAATTCTGCACCTATGCATCCTGAGGAAACAGACCTCCCTGTATCTTCTGTGTAGTTTGTTTTAACTGTCTGTCAACCACTGAGAACAGTGCTTCAGTACTAATGCAGCAGTATGTAAATCAAAGCAACCAACGAACCAACCAACCATATGGGGGCTGAATGACAAAATGCACAACACTAGATGATACACTGCTCTTAAGTATTTTTAGAGAAGTCCAAGAGAATTAAGAAGGAACATAGGATCATGAAAGCAAAGCGTCATTAATACACAATCTTCTGTATTTTTATTTATTTAAAATATTTTTACCCCTTGCCGTTCTCCTATTTAAAAAGATGGCTTATTTCATTAAAAGGCTATATTTAAAAATTAAAAACAAAACACAAATCTTTAAAAAAGAATCAAGCAAGTATTATATTAAAAACAGTAAATGAAATCAATACTAAAAACGTATTTAAAGGCAACAAGGCACAACAATCTGTTTTAAAAAACCCTATCAGACAGCCAGTCCTTAAGGGAAAGTGTTCTGCTTGCGGGAGGACAGCAAAGATGGGGCCAGGCTGGCCTCCAGTGGGAGGGAGTTCCAGAGACTGAGAGCAGCCACAGAGAAGGCCCCCTCTTGTCTCCCCCATCAGTCACGCCTGTGAAGGTGATGGGACCAAGAGAAAGGGCTCTCCCGTAGGGTCAAAAGTTGCAAGTGTTCACATTTTGTGACTATATGTCTGTAGACTCAGCACTTCTTTTGGTTTAAAGGCATCTTTAGGTGCTTTTATTTTTTTAAGCAGGAAGGCTCTGGAGCATTTTGAGAATGGTTCCTAAAAGCCAAAACAAAAATAAAAAAGCATCTGTTGACGACTCATCTTCACCAGAAGCCTTACCTGGACAAGGAAAATGATGAGGAAGTAGAAGTTGGCGATTCTTCTGAACTGTTCGAAGAGATTTTTGGGGAGAAAATTCCAGACTGTGTACTGCAAGACAGAAAGGAGAGGGTCGGTATGGGCCAGGTAGGAAGCATGAACAGCAATGACATCCTCTGAGGACTTTTAACTGTTCAAAAAGCCTTTCTTACAAAACAGCAACCTGTCTCCCCTGCTCTTTGCAGTCCAGGATGTCAAAACCAGTAACACCAAGGGAGACCAAAAGAGCAAACGTCAGAAATTGGGCTTTTTCAGTTGTGGCCCCACACCGCTGGCATAAACTCCATCAGTGGTTCTCCCCATGCCTTCCCTCGCAATCTAAGGTGTTAGTAAGAACAGAACTGTTCAAAACGGCCTTTTATTAGTTATCATATCTGTGGTGTCCAATGTCATTTTAAATCGTTTCTTTTTCTAAAGACAGGTTAGCTAGTCAGTGGTTTTATGGACTGATTGTAGAATTGTACTGTATTGTACATTTTTTAAATGTATTCTTCTGCTTGTATGCTTTCTTGTAAACTGCCCAGAGATTATACTGCACTATGGGGTGGCAGATAATAATTTCATGAAAAATGTGTCAATTAGCTGGTTCAGTAAAATACTTTGCTCTATAATTAAGTCTCCATTTGGAAATACGGATTGCTTTTCCCGTCCATCATCCATGCCCTGCCGGTCCTATGCCAACTTTCGCAAAATGTTTTAGGGCATAAATCCCAGCAAACAATTCTGACCCATACTGGTAGCCAGCTGGAGATAATAAGAATATCTAAAGCTGAGAAAGATTAGCTCTGCCTACGGTTGTGACACACGAAAAAGGCAGGAGGAGCCGTGAACATTGTGTATGTGGTTATTTGTGCCCACTGTAGAAAATCAATTTGAGCAGTTATTCAGTTTGAGTGTCAGTCGTCAGAGGAATCCAAATTGCTTTGCAGTCACTCAAATTAAACTGCAGTGGAGACTGGGTTAAGGAAACCGTCGTCATGCATCAGTAATCGTTCATTTGATCTAATTCTGATAACAGTGGTACCTCGCAAGACGACGACCCCGCTAAATGACGAATCTGCATAACGATGACTTTTTGCGATCACTATAGCGATTCGCAAAACAGTCATTCCAATGGGCGATTTTCGCTGGACGATGATTTGGTCCGTGCTTCACAAGCCGACGATTTTTACAGCTGATCGGCGCTCATAAAATATTGGCGATCTTTGCAAAACAACGAGGTATTTTCCCCACTGGAACACATTAAACGGGTTTCAATGCATTCCAATGGGGAAATGGTTTTCGCATGACGATGATTTCGTTAAACAGCGATTTTCATGGAACCGATTATCATCGTCATGTGGGACACCACTGTATTACTGTTGTTATTCCAGTCACTGTCCAGAGACAGGCCTCTTTGGCTCCATGACCAGCTACCCCTAATATGTTATTTCTCCCTAGGCCAGTGGTTCCCAAGCTTGGGTTCCCCAGATGTTCTTGACGAAAATTCCCAGAATCCTTCAACACTAGCTGTGCTGGCCAGGATTTCTGGGAGCTGTAATCCAAGTACATCTGAGGAACTAGTGCCCCAAGCTATAAAAGGTTCTGTGGTTCTGGCATGCATCTATCAACCTAGGCTAGAGACTAGCACTGCTCAACCAACAGTGCTTTGAAGGTGTCCAACTTAGGCTGAATTTCTTCCTTGTCTACCTCAGCCTCCCCTGGCTATAGGCAGTTCTGGCTCTTGTGTCCACCTCATCGTTTGATGGCTGCTCAACTCAGGAACAGGAGAGAAGCTCTGAAAGAGATCTAACACCTAACTTGGTTTTTTCGGGGACAGCAAACCCCCAAAACAAGGTTTGCCAGCTACAGGGCAGCACGGATGATTTAGCAAGGCAGCACACAGGGTCCCATAAGCTAGAGGTAGGAAAATGCCAACCTTTCAGGACTAAAATTCCCAGAATTCACAAGCCAGATGGCTGAGATGCTCAGAGATTTGGAACCCGAAAAAGCAACTTCTCCCAATATGGTAGACAGGCAACTCTGTAAAGCCACAATAGCAGCTACACAAAGCTAAGTATTTCACTTGCATGCCAAATGGATAGCACTCGATATATAAAATGTTGCATATATAAATTGCTAAGTTTTAATGTGTGATTCCACTTTTTTTTTAATAGCCACCTGTTTTTCTGCTTTAGAAAAAAAACATGACTTTTGTGCTACACTACGCTCTTGACAGAATGAGACCAGGCTTCCTTGTTTGGGCAACATCCGACGAAATACGCAAAGCCGACAGAGTTGCATGCTAGGCATAGATCATCATTAACCATGTATGCCCTCCCAAATGTAGGTAAATTTTTTTAATCTGCTTTTCAAAGATCACTATGTAAGTGATTCACATTTTTGTCTACCCAAGAATTCACTGTAGACTGAATATTCTCTTTTATATCTTGCAGCTATTTTGCATTTTCTGGCTAGCTGAATGTTGGTATCCTGAAAAAAGAGTAAGCGATCCGTCATCCCCTCTGGAAAAGCTACTCTGGGGAACTATTTCTCCCAGAATCCCCCAGCCATATTGGCCAGTGGAATCCTCGAAGCTCTGATCCAGACAAAAGCACCCCAAAATATTTCCAAAGCTCTGTTCCTACTCATTGATGGGGAATGTTGGGGGGGGGCTCATGAAGCCTTGACCACCAGTCTCTCAGAAAGTTGGTCTATCTGACAAGGTTGTTGTTGAAGATTAAGGGAAAAGAGTTATGTACCTGAGCTGGTTGATACAAATGTGTAACTGCTTAAAAAAAATCTAAATAAAGGCAAACTCAGATGGTGAATGTCATTTCTCTCTTCTACTTTCAAAAGAGTTGTTACTCTTAAAATATATTATGCTCCCATATATTTTAGAGTTAAGTGCTCGCCTACAACTGAAGTTCTATTTTTATCCATTTCTAAGCGGTGCACCTACACTTTCTTATAACTGTAGAGATGACTTTTGCAAGATGAAAAAAACAAGCCTGTGATTTCCTAAAAGTTACACGTCTTCAAAATATTTTGGATTTCATGTTATGCTTATGGAACCTAGAAAGCAAGGAGAAATAAAAGATGCTCAGATACCCAGATGAATTTTGAAATGCTTGTCAAGGTTTGTCCGATTCCATTCAGAAATTAACCTTGTACTGGGACAACGTCGGTGATGACAAATACTTTTGTCAGCTATAAATGAAGTATAGAGTCCTCTGGTTTATCCTGTAAGTTAAATATACAGAGTATCTCCCTGCGAAATCTGACACCAACAGGATTGCGATAAAAAAAACAATGAAATCAAACAACCAAACAAACAAAACAAGGAGGAAACAACCACTAAAAACTATTCTTAGTAAAGACTGACTACATGATCTCAGGAAGCTGAAATGTCTTTTTTGGTAAGAAAAGCCAACTTCAAAGCAATGCTCGGGAGGAATTTGAAGATGAAGCAGAGTTGCAAAAGAAGACAAGACTGGCCATCTGAATCTCTTTCTAGAACACTCTACACTAAAACCTTTTTTGTTGCAGGTCTTAATTTGCAAATATGCCATTCTAATAGTGAAATAAGCTATTTAAAAAAGAGAAGGAAAGACATAAAAGAGAGAAGCATGGAAGTTGGTGCTTTGGGCTGCACTGAAAAGCGGAAATTTCTTAGTGAAACGGGGCAAAAAAAGGCGATGTATTTTTAGACATTATCCTCAGCTTGTAAAAGCGGCCAATATTACGTACTAAACGTTTTGAATCAAGTTGTTCAATTGTGGAATCTGGGCACCCACTGGACACCCAGAGAGACAGTTAATAAATACACCTTTCCTTGCTGCCTTTCAGCAAAGACGGAACACCCCAACATCTCTTGAGAAAAAAGTAGGGTGAAACAGAGTGATCCAATTTGGATGGAGAGAGCTAAGGAGGAATGGACACCTAGCCATCTGGATTATTTGGGGATAGCTGCTTCCTTCTGATGTCGAGTGCATACCATGGGAGCTGTAACCCAGGGGTTAAATCCAAGACCAGTCCAAAATAGAGCAGACCCCATTGAAATGTATGGGGTTTGTTAGTCGCAGTGAATGGCAATCCCATTCATTCTAACGGGTCTAGCTCTTGGCAAGACTAGTGTTGGATTTAGCTCCAACAGACGTTGAAGTCATCAGATGGTCTAGCGTACGTGAGGCACGCAGGTTCTGGCAGAGGTAAAATGGAAGAGGGGGGGACCATCAGAATGTCACTGGTGTGTTCAGGGTCTTGTCTGTCACTCCTGTGACAGAGTTAACACAGAATGCTAACCTTGGAAGAGACAATTTGATTGGAGCAAAATTTCTGGGGCACGTAGGTCTCTCTTTCGGAAACCGGGCGGTGGCCGACGAGAACAGTCCGCGTCCCGACACGCTTCTCTTCCCCGACAAGCTAAAGATGGAAAGAGGATAAGAATTAAATCTCGTCAGATTTGGGGAAATACCCTTCCTTGTTTGCAAACATCCAAGCCTTCCTGCATGTCTAAAAGGTTTACGGCGGCCAGCTTTCACGAGATGAAGGGTGATCCTGTTTGCTCAATTTCTGCCTATGGGGAACGGTTCCTAACTGGACGACGAGCAACGAAAGCTGAGACCCACACCTCTTTAGGCATGGTGGGGATCTACAGGTAAAACTGCAAGGGTTTCGAAGCATGACACAACCTTCCAAGATCCTGGCAGGTCTCCTGTTACAGCTCTCCATGGAAATAATGCTCTTTGCCAATTATTCACACTCCAGCATGCTGCAAAGTTGTAATTACTGCTTTTCTGAAGTAGGTAGCATTGCGAGACAATAAGCTGTGACTAAGCTGTCTGTGGCATTTATTTAAAATACATGTATCCCAGCCACCCACCCCTCAGTCCCTGGGGAACCACCAGGCAGTCACACCCAGCACAGAGTAAGGAATTAAGCAAACAAAAAAAAGCCCTAAAACTTTCACACTGAGTAACACAACAGCATAAACAACGAGACCGCAAGAGACGCCCCGAACAGCAGCAGCAGTTTGTAAATGCAAAAGAGCTTCACAGAAAGCAATAGTGCTTCAAGGCGGTCAAATGGCAGCCGAGAGGAAAGTGAACCGCCAGTCAACCCGAGCATCATCCACAAAAAGGTTACGTTTCATGAAGAAGCCCTCACATCACAAGACGGAGAGCCTTGACACAGGGCTTCTGATGAGCAAGCAAGATGGGCAAAAAAAATCTATACAAAGTCAACTGTTCCCCCCCCCCAAAAAAAATACCAAGGGTTTCTCAAAAGCCAAGGCCTGTTTTCAGAGGGAAGGCCCCACAACATGACCCATACTCCCCAGATCCCCCCTGCGGGGATACAGGCTTGCAGGCAGATGTTCAAGAACTCCGTAAGCTGCTAGAGAAGAGTGTGCGAGGGGAGGGTAAGAGGAGGAAAAGCTGATAAGAACATACTGATTCAGACTGCCACTCCATCCCAAACGCCTTCGCCAACAATGGGGGGAAAAAAGGAGGACTCCGAAGAATGCACAAGGACTTTTAAGTCATTTTTCCTGTGACCTACTTAAATCAACTATTTGGAGATTGGCTGAGGCTCCGGAGCATGTCATACGTCTTCTTTCTAACACACACACTTCCCCATCATCTCGGCATCGCCCGTATGGAAAAAATTGTTCACCACCAAGAACTTCTGGATGCGTTTCTCCTCCTATCGTTTGGGCGGAGGACGCTACAGATAAAAACAGAGCTAAAGTTTTGGGAAGAGATGCCTCTCGCGTGGCTGAAAACTCACAGGAACTTCCCCGTTATCAGATACAAAGACCTTGACATAATAGGCGATGGAGGGCCAAGATTTTATATTTTTTTTCCCTGTCCCTTTCCCATTCTAGTTCATTTGCATCCTAACCTTCTTCAATTGCGCCAAGAAAGACAAAAATAAAATCAGGTGGGCCGAGCTTCATGGAAAATCCTTCCCGGCTCTTTGCATCTGGCATCTCCCTCTTGCTGGCAATACTTCTCAACTTCTGTACTCTGCAATCTTTGCCCCGCAGGCTTGGAGATGATTTCTAAGATCTTCCTGCCCATTTCAACCCAGCAAAAAAGCATCATCCTGGTTATCAACTTGAACTCAAGAAGTTGGCCTTCTGGGCGCTAGGAAGCAAGCATCATCCTTATCAATAAAAAGGCGCAAACCACCAATTGACCTGCCACTGAATGCAAGGGAAAAAACCCATTTTATTGCTATTTAAATTGTTCCTTTTAATTACGGTTTTTATGCTATTTTATTGTAAGCCGCCCAGAGTAGACGTAGTCTAAATGGGCGGGGTATAATTTAATTTTTTAAAAAACCTATTTTTTTAAAGGAAAAAAAAGGAGTGTAAAACAGCCTCCCAACCTTTTTTATGCTGAGTGGGGACAGCAGGAGCAGATGAATATTAACTATTTTTTTCTCCTGATCATTTCCCAACCCCTCCATTATAGCAGGAGCCAGAAATCTTCAGGATGGTGCCCCACCTATGGTCATCTCAGCTGAGCTACCTCTCCTTCCTCAGGACGCCATGCTTTATTTATTTATTTTGGATGCCAACTTTTTTTATCCCATACACAACGGTGTACATTTTGGTGCAGAAAGAAGGGGTGTGGGTGGGTATCTTAATACCCAAATCATAGAGGATGGCACAGAGGCGAGGAGGGTCAAGACAGAGATTTTCCAGCCCCACAGCCTCAGATTTGGGGTTTTTTTTTCCCCAGATGCTAACGTTGGCCCTGCATCAAGGTCGGCCCTGCATCTTCGGCCAAGGCCACTTACAAGGCCAGACTCTTTGGCTTCCCTCGTTTCTCCCGGGGTTGACAGCTTCTGTCTTTGCCCTTTCGGTTTCTGGTCCATGTGCAGGACCTAAACGGGGGGGAAAAACGCTCCCCCAAATCCCATGGGGTTCCCCCAACGGCAACGGGGAGGACCAGAGAGGCCCAAACTCTCTCCGGCGTTGCCGCGGCAACCTCCCAGCCCAGGGACCAACTGACGCGGAATCTCCGGATTTCGGGGTGGGTGGTGGAGGCGGGATGAATCAAACGGATGCCATAAAAGATCCAGGGATTTGGGGAAAAAATGGATTGGAGCGTGCAATAAAAAATTGCTGGGAGGGAGGGTTTCAGGCAGGACGAGAGATTTCCAGGAAAGAAAAATGCTGGCATGCTGGGGAGCAAGGAGATGTTTATCTGCAACATACAGGCCATCTCTAAGCATGCACAGAGTCCACCTACAGCTGCCTTGTTAAACTCAATTTTATTTTATTTTTATTGCCTCTCTTAGCCTGGGACACAGAAGCCCCACCCAGCTTTTATGCATTTAAAACCTAGATCAACGAAGCTTCACCAACTACCCCACCGTTATGGAGGGCAGCCTGGATCTTTGCCCGCTGGTACCTAAAAAAAAAAATCAAGCTGCTGTTAAAAAAGAAACAAGCAACTTTGGACTGGTTGGGAAACACGCAGCCGCTGAAGTTGAGCAGTGATGACTCTCTGATCCGACTACACTTAAATGAGAAGAAACGGGATTCCTTTGTCAAAATGGCCTTCCCCAAAGCCAAGCCTGTTAGTCATTATTTAACTTCATTTAATCAAGGCATTCCTATCCCAGTGTGTATCTGGAAAGGCTCCCAAGACTGCTCTGCATATCTTTCTTTTTAATTTTTTTTTTAATTTTAAGTAAGGCAATTCCTGCCCTCAGGCTTGCAATCCTAAGAGCCAAGGCAGAAATCCCAGGCTATTTCCAAATAAAGAATCTCAAATAATTAATAATCAGAGAGACTTTTCCTTGCCTAAAACTATTTGATATACTGCAACCGAAAACAGACAATACACAACAACAACAACAACAACAAAAGGGGGGAACTTGTCCCAGTATAAAGCAGCTTCCTATGCACTCTGTACATGCTCAGAGCTTATGTCTCCATTTCCAAGTAATGTCCCTTTGTCTTAAATGCCAGGTTAAACAACTTCTGGAGTAAGTTCTGAAGTTGTGTTGCTACAATTGTGTGTGGTGCTGCTTTTTCCGGCAGATCCAGACTGAAATCTGCCACCTGGATTCAAAGAAATGCCTTAACTATTTATTTATTTATTTATTTATTTATTTATTTATTTATTTATTTATTTATTTAATACCCCGCCTATCTGCTCAGAACGAGCACTCTAGGCAGCTTCCAAGCATATAACTAGTTCATATACGGCACTTCCAGTGTAAACTGACTCATAAGCCTACACAATAATGTGAAGTCATTGCAGTATGTCCTTGCTTGGTTTAATGCCGCTCCTTCCAGTCAATGAACACCAACACCCACTTCAATTCTGCTCTGTCACATCCAGGCAGAAAAATGCTTTCCTGGAGCACTCTAGGCAGCTTCCAAGCATATAACTAGTTCATATACGGCACTTCCAGTGTAAACTGACTCATAAGCCTACACAATAATGTGAAGTCATTGCAGTATGTCCTTGCTTGGTTTAATGCCGCTCCTTCCAGTCAATGAACACCAACACCCACTTCAATTCTGCTCTGTCACATCCAGGCAGAAAAATGCTTTCCTGGTTGAATTTCAGCCTGCCACTGAGCTTTTAAAGGCATAAAAGTCCCTCAGTCCGCTGGGGCTGAATACTGAAAAACCTTAGCCTTCCCAGAGCAAATAGGACATTAAAATAACCATTAAAACATACCAGCATAGCTTTCATCCACAAAACAAAGAGTTCAGGGCACTTTTAAAGACCAAGTTTCAAAGCTACTTTACTCTAAAATGTGAGCAAACAAAAACACTTTTGCATCACTTGTAAAATACCATTGTTTTGTTTATTTTACTGCATTTCTATCCCACGTTAACACTAAAAACACAGCATGCGGTGTAACTTTCAGCATTCACTGAAAACAACACAACTTTTAAAAAATGTAACTAGGGACAGTTTAACCAATTAAGCCATTAAAATCAAATCAACTTTAAACATTTGAAAAAGACACTTTTAAAAGCTGAGCAGAGGGGAACCATTGAAGGATTTAGCATTCAAGCATACTTTCACTGAGCAATACTTAGAAAACCTTGGAAAAGGTTTCCATAAATTGGAATTTACTTGATCACATGCAATTATTATACAACTCTCACTGGAAAGATTTCAAGCCCATAACTTTTATTCGGCGGTAAACATCTGCAAACAGCCAAATATAATGACTATTCACAATAACAGGAAGCAACGTTTGATGGAGTATCAGGCAAAATCCAAAGGAAAAAAACAATACAATTTAAAAAAACACCACACAAAAACAGGTGGGACCTTAAAGACTAACCATTATATTTTACTGCAAGCTTTTGTGGACACATCCACTTCATAAAGAAAGAACATGAAATGGCGATGAAATATGAGTTTCACATTCTAAATGCCCACTGGTTACATGCAGTGATGGGCCCTATGTTTGTTTTACAACAAACAAGTAAAAATATTTCAGGGAGACAGAAAACACACACCAGGGCTGAAACGAATACTTCATCTACATTTAATTCCATTTCCTTCCGGTGCTTTTATTGCCTGACGAAGTGGAAGTTTCCACGAAAGCTCACATTACAATATACAGTAATGGTTAGTCTTTAAGTTTTCACATGTTCTTGTCTTGTTTCTTTGGATGTTGCCTGCTATGCTTGCACAGACTAAAAAAGCTACCTCTTCTAAGGCTACCTTTGATGGAATGTCAATGTAGGTTGAAGGTTGGAATGGATAATCCAGAGAGTAACTCACTGTTGGCATGTTTTGTTTTTTAAACTCCCCTATTTACATAACTTTGGGTTTCCTCGAGCAGACAGTCTAGCTTAACCGCTCTATTGTTTTTGTCCAGAAATATGTGTTGTTTTAAAACTCACCAATTGTTTTGGGTAGCCTTGCTTTCCAGAGACACTGCTCAAATGCTTTCCTCTTGCTGTGATTCTAGCTAACAAGAAAACAACTTCCACCCCCAGAAAACACAGCTTTGCTGCTTTCTTACCAGCGTAGACCATAATTTCAGCACACCATCTGGGGTTAAAACAAATTCCATTTCTGCCGGAACTGCCAGATCAGCTAACAGTCTTCCATGCAGAAAGAGCACTTCCCAAAATGAAGATTTTGAGGAACTAAAATGGTGGTTGATTTCTGTCTTTGGTGTTGTTGTTTTTTTAAAGCAACCAGGGGGGAGGAAAAGAAGAGAAGAAAAACAGGTTTTAATGCAGAAGTTGGGCAGAGATCAAGTTGCATTTGGCTGGAATGGACTCAATTTAAACACATACCTTTCCAAAAAGGAGTGGCTACCTAGATAATAATTACAAGAAACAGGGTTGACATAAGGGCTGCAACCCAATGCATGTTTATTTGGGAGTAAACCCAAGTCAACTCAGTGGGACTCCCCTCCTCAGAACCAGACACAGGGGCCACAATCCTGAAACTACTCAGAGAAACATGTTCTTTGAGAACTATGGAAGACCCATATGGATGCATTCCAGGTTACACCAGATCAGAGGCCAAGATGGTAGTCAGAAATACAGACTTTAAATTTCACAAACCTAATATCCGTAAATTCTTCAACGTGCCACATTCACAGTTTTTTTTAAAAGTAGGCAATCATTAAATAAAGGAGGGCCAAAACCAGCTGTACAAATCTTTGCAAGAGCTGACAATTTTGTTAAAAGAGCAAATTCCGAAGAGCAGTATTGATTATTACATGTTTCTCCTGTCTTGTGCGATGCTCGGATTGTTTTACTTAATTATGGAAAAGAGCAGAGAGATTCAGGACATGAAGTTCTGTTTTTATGTGTGTGTAAACATGTATAAAAATAAAATGGGGGAAAAATGTCATTAAAAACACACCGAGATAGATCTTTAAACTCCCAGCACATTTTTAATTGACCTGCATACATTCTGCTTTGGTTCTTTATTAGCTGGTCCCCTCCTTTTTCTCAAACTTTCCTGAGTCAGGGTTATAAATAGCCCCGAGTTTTAGTCATCTCTAGGCAGGCACATTTTTTTACAAAAGCTGTAACCTAGCACCACTTTTCCAACTTTGTGATGCTACAAGTAAGGAAGAAAACGACAAGAGGTTATTTCGGTTCTTGTGCAAAAAAATGGGGCTAGAGGAGTCTCAGAGGCAGGAAAGGAAACTGTAGTCCTTTACTATGCCGTAAATCCGTTCCTGCTCTTCCAGGGTTGCAGAGCGAATCCACACAGCTCTGTTGCTAAACCTGCTTCTACTCCAAAGCAAGCCAAAGGATTTCACAGAGTCATGCCCTACTGCCTTCTTGCTCGACTGCATTAAGCGCCGGAGTTTGCCCGTCTGCTTCGAACAACCTTCCGGCCACCTTTATTTGTGGCCTGGAACGCAGGGCTTTAAAAGCTGCCAGCCGTTCCTTTGCGCATTGGGGAACGACAGTGAGCGATGTCAAAAGGGTTAAAAGGTTTTAACAGCCTGTGATCATCCTCTCTTTCCCGCACCAAAGGAAAGACTTAGCAGGAAGGCGGAAAGCCTTCTGTTATCCTCCAAGCGCAAACTGGAAGCGGCCAAGGGACCACAGTTCCAAAGCGAAGCCGTTGCCAACTTTTCAATAAAATCTTTTCTCGAGTGCCTCCGACAGCAGCTGCAGGCAAATATGAGCTGACGGATTCAGGGTTGAGGAAAGCAGTTTGAAAGATGCCGCTAGACGGGAATCCTGCCAGCAGCTGGAAAAGCATGTTGACCTTAAAGCAGACCTGGGGAAAGTTCATTTCTGGGGGGCCACAGCTGTAAGCACCCCCCACCTCTCTCAACATGCCAACCAGCCTTGCTGGCTACTAGGGGAATTTAAATTACAAGAAAGGAATTGTACACAAGCTAACGCCACTGCTATCTCCACACTTATGAACACCTCTCCCTCTGACAACGCTAGCTAGAACAAGTGTTTAAAGCACAAGAGCAGTGCAGAACTAGGAACTTTCTGGTCAGCTGGTAACACAAAACACGTCAACTTCCCCGTCGTAATATCTGAGCATGTATTTTTTTTTAACTGGACTTAAGCCACAAGGATCTGTTGGTTGCTTCTTCCACCAAACCCGCTCAACCCTGGCTGGCCATGTATCTCCCCCAGCACTTATTTCACCCACCCACCTTTGGGAACGGCCTTGCTCTAGGCGATACAAGTCTTTATTAGTTATGTTTATATTGCACTTGGCTTCCAGCGAGCAAAAAAAAATAAAAAATGATAGCCTCTTGTGGCTTTTGTCCTTCCTTGCTTTATACTCACAAGAATGCTCCTCTGAAGTAAAGCCAGGCAGGAAGTAAGGGACCCAAAGGTCAGCCAAGACGTTTCAAGGGCGAGAGGGAACCAGGACATGAACTTTCCTAAACTCCAGCCCATCTTCTCTCTACCCACCTAAGGTCTCCAGGACCATCGTCGTCCACTCAAAGGACAAAATTCCCCAATGGGGAAACAACTCTCTCTCTCTCTCTCTCTCTCTCTCTCTCTCTCTCACTCACACACACACACGCACGCACGCACGCACGCACGCACACAAAAACTGGAGGCACTCTTCTCTGAAACCTATGACTGTAAGCTATAAGTATACCAAAGTTTTTAAAAATTCCTTGTGTAATGAAGAAACTACCTCCAGCAATTATAGGCTGCAAAAATACGTTTTCCAGCATCTTTGTGCATCTATCTATCTATCTATCTATCTATCTATCTATCTATCTATCTATCTATCTATCTATCTATGTCTGTCTGTCTGTCTGTCTGTCTGTCTGTCTGTCTGTCTGTCTGTCTGTCTGTCTGTCTGTCTGTCTGTCTGTCTGTCTGTCTGTCTGTCTGTCTGTCTGTCTGTCTGTCTGTCTGTCTGTCTGTCTGTCTGTCTGTCTGTCTGTCTGTCTGTCTGTCTGTCTGTCTGTCTGTCTGTCTGTCTGTCTGTCTGTCTGTCTGTCTGTCTGTCTGTCTGTCTGTCTGTCTGTCTGTCTGTCTGTCTGTCTGTCTGTCTGTCTGTCTGTCTGTCTGTCTGTCTGTCTGTCTGTCTGTCCCTTTCTCCTTTAAAAGGGCCCAAGGTAACAAGAAAACATGGGCGATCGTGTGAAAGGAGGTGTCTCCCTCTCCTCGCTGGCTTGTCTTTTCTCCCCAAAGCAGTTCCAGCCTGTACTAAGCAGAGCGAACCTTTCAGGGCAGCTAGCAGGAGATAAGAAAAAAGGCTCCAAGATAAGGAGAGGGATGCGGTTGGCCTTTTCCAAGAGGAGACCGCTTGCCAAACTGTTTTGACTTCATTTCTCACATGATGGCTTGCAATGCACGGAGCATCCCCATCCGAGGCAGTTGCGGCCGTTCGATATTGCTTCAACCGGCACAGCTCCATCGCATGGAAGGTGTCGTTTGGTGAGCTCCTTCGAATTCTCTGCTCTCGTTCTGAGCAGGGGCCACTACCTGTATTACAGCAAAAATGCAAAGGGTCTCACCAAACCACAGTTCCTAGGATTCTAGAGCGTTGCCCGTTGAAGTAGGACCAAACCACCCATAATTACATTGTAGATGCATTCACATATTCCAGAATAAAAGTCTGCAGTAGAAGGTCATGCCGTACTGATGTGGTTATAGCATACATTTTGCAGAGAACGTATCAAACACCAGATGCATCAGTGGGATGATGTTTCTAGGAAGATCCCAGCCAACAGCCTGGGGACGATGGATACATAAAGATAGATACATAAAGTAGATGTACATCTGATGAATTTCTTTCCCGTGGGGGGGGAACCCACATATCAGCAAGATCTTTTGTGATGGATGCGTTGACTGCTCCAGACTCCAGCAAAGCAATATTCTCCGAACGGCTGGGGAAATGTTTTATTTAATGAGAGCTAATGGTAAGTGCTGAATGTTAGGACCTCAGGAACATAGAAGCCACCAGGGAAAAGGTGCATCATTCATCATCTTCTCTCTCACTTGCAGCTAAGGGCCAACCTTGGAAGGCAAACTAGGCTGAAAAATGTTAAGCTGACCTCAATAACGGATGGAAGTATACAGGGCGTCTCTTTCCGTACAGTTAAGAGCGGGTGGGTATTTCAAACCCCATCAATCATCTCCTGCTGTTGATGCAACAGAGCTGTTTCTCCTCCAGCTTGTTCCTCACATCTGGAAGAAATCCCACTGGGGGAAGCAGATACAGAAGGGGGGAGGACATGTCCCGTTCTTAAAGGGCTCGGATAACCTTAACGGAGGCGGTGACCCTCTCTTGGGTGACCAGCTGAAAATTAGGCCTTTCTCACACCAGACTCCACCGCTCCCACAACTGAACAGCTGGAGAAGGTTAGTGCAGGGGCGCTGAAGAAAATCTTCCCCTACCATCCTCCACCATTTGTTTCTCCATCCTGTTGGTATCAGAGCCACCTTACATGGAGGTGAGGATGGAGAAGCAACCATATGGACGTAGTCCATCTTCCTGATTCCAGGCATCATTACCAACTGACCTTCCTGCCTAGCTCTGACCCGTCTGCTTCAAGAAAAAGAACAAAATAGAATAATATATGTTTTTTTTTTTAAAGGCAGTGTAACTGTCCCTAGTTCTGGTGGTAAAGCAAGGAATGATTTAGCAGAGACCTTTGGAAAGGCATGAGTGGAAAGAAGAAGTCCTATCATCTCTGGGGAACAGGAAGGAACCAAGAGCAAATATTTGGTGATCTTAACATTAAAAGAAAGAATGTGCTTTTTTTGCAGCCCTTTTCCGAGCAAATGCAGCATTTTTCCACCCCCTATCCTACACTTGGGACCCACATTCACAACAGAATTGGGAACAAGGAAATGGAAGCCGTTCTTCATGCCAAGTGATCTCTCCCCTTGGAGGCGAGAATTAAAAAAAAAACAACTTATCCCTGCGATCAAGGTTGACTAAGGCTATTTGTGGGGCTTGCTGGCAGTGCTTGCTTCCTCTCCTCTCTGCGCTTCCACCATCCGAGCCATCAGCCTTACAGAACGAGGGATGTGTGCTGGTCAGGCCAAGGGCAGGCCAAGTTGCTGTAGAAGAAGCTTTGCCTTGGCCCTTCCCCTCCTTGCTTCTCCCTCCTCCCGAATCACCTCCGCCTTGACCTTTAAAGAGATCAAAGACTCTGCACCTGGCTGGATTCAGTCTCAGAAGTCTTGGGTTCAAATCCCCGCTCAGCCATGACACTCCCAGGGCGACCTCGAGCCAGTCCCATCATTCTCAACTAACGGGCGGGAGTTGCTGGGAGAAAACACCAAGAAAGAAGGCGATGGCTATTGTACATTGCCTGGAAAGAAAGGGGATCGACAAATGGCACACGAAATCGTGCTTTTGAATGTGTTGTTTTGTCTGCTGTAAGCTGCCTTGGGTTCCCAATACAAATGCATAAATAAATACATCAATATAATATACGCTGCCCTTTAAAAAAATATATATATA